AATCCGCATTTTACTATGTTTAATTAGTAAATTTTGACGTTGTTGTATTATTTCTGATTGCTACTGTATATTTATTAGTTTTTGTTTATTTTATAATACTTTTTTCTTTAAAAATAAAATAGATTTTTTAATTAATTGCATATAATTATATAATTTTGCAAAAAAAAATACTCTATTCTTAAATTTTGATAATTTTAATAAAAATTAATATAAAATCTAAATATTCTTTTTTTAATTATTTTATTTTTTTTTATTTAAGTTTTTTTTAACTTTTATTAAAGTTTGTAAGTTAATTTATTAACTTATAATAATATAATATTTTTTAAATTATACTTTATATATTTACTTAATATTAATTTATTATTAGTATTAATTTTATTTTATAATTTATAATTTTAAATTATATAATAATTATATATAATTATATATAATTATATAAGATATATAATTTAATAAATTTTATAAAAAATATTATAAACTAAATATAATATTTTATTTTTCAAAATATTTAGAGATCTATTTTAGTTATAATTATATAAAAATTAAATTTCTTATATTTTATAACAAGTTAAAAACTAAAAAATATAATTATGTTAATTTTATTTATTTAATAAGTATATAAAAAATAATTATATAAAGATTTCAAAATTTTATTTATAAAGTATTTTTAGTATTTTAACAAATTATTTTTTATAAAGTATTATTATATATTAGTTATTTATATATTATCAAATTTAATAATAATTTTTTATAAATATAATTATAATATAATTTATACTAAATATATTTACATTAAGCTAATTTTATAGCTGATTCTTAAAAAAAAGATAGTTAAAATAATATTTTTATATAACATAAATATAGAAATTTAAATATATTATATATTATCTTAATTCTGTTTTTAATACTAAATTATCATAAAACTTTTATATAATAATATATTATAAAATATTTATTTATAATACTTAAAGATAGAATCTTTGTTTATAAAAAATAACTTATATAATATCTATTTTGATTAATAAATATTTATTTAAATAAGTAATTATCTTTATATAATAGCAATCAAAAAGAATGGAATGCTAAAACAAATTTATAGTAAAAATACAAAAAATATGAATTTTTTCTTATATAAAAGTTTTCAATTTTACTAATAAATATTTTTTATTTTTATATTAAAATAATTAAAAAATAATTGACTTTATATACAATTAGAACAGCTTCGTCAGATTAAATCTAAAAAATCTGAAAAAAATATATGTTAAAATATGTGATATTATCTTCATTTTAATATAAAAATAAAAAATATTTATTAGTAAAATTGAAAACTTTTATATAAAGAGAAAAACTCGCATTTTTTGTATTTTTATATGTTTTATTAATAAATTTGTTTTAGTGTTCCATTCTTTCTGTAGGTTAATTACTTGTTTTAGTTGTATTCTAATTATATAAACTTTTATATATGAATCTAACTTTGTTTACAAGTTATAATATTATAATATTATAATAACTATTATATTTATTAACAAATTGCAATTTTATAAATTAACTATTTTTAAAATATCAAGAATTTATAATAATATACTAAGAAATAATCTTGATTTGGATCAGTCATATACAATCTTTTTGCTATGTTAACATGCAGAAGTCATTCCATACTAGTTATCACTCCTGTTTTATATTAATATTGATCCTAATGGATTTTATTATATACCATATAAACACAGCAATGCAATATAATTAATATCAGAAACTATATCCAATTCCTTTATCGTTATCTTTATCGTCGAACTCTGAAATTCGATTGAAATAAAAAATGTCGTACCACTATCCAAGATTTAGACTTGAAATATTTTGAAGAGGTGAATATTTTACGTGGAAGGTATCACCATCATTATAAGTTTTAAATCGGTCTTATAACAATCAATTACCTTGGTCTTCTTCAAGTTCATTTATAATAGACACATTAATTATATCCTATACAACACATATTTAATCTTTATCTTGAATCTCTAAACTATACATGTACATGTATATCAATATTATAAGAAAATACATGTAATAAATTTTAGTTTTGAGCTTATTTTTATCAAAAATCGCATACTAAAAAAACTGTGTAGTATAAAAAACAAAACGGATTGAATTAAAATTAAATACAGTATAGCTTACAGCAATTTTATTTTGTGTTTTAGTAAAATTCTATATTGATGATTGATTAAAATTTATTGATGTATAATAAAAATTCACGACTATTATATATTTTTATCTGATTTGAACTCTCGAGTAACCCTAAGCTCTGAGCCAAGCCAATACAAGGCCGAGTTAGAAATATGACTCGACGCCAATTTCAAACTCGGCTTGACTTGGCCCTATACCTTACGAGTTAGAAGATGCTAAAATAAAAAAATATCTGATTTCTTTGGCTTATTCCTAAATAATCAAACACTTTCCGATGTTACTTTTGCTTTTGATGACGGTACCAAAATTCGCGCACATCGAGTAATTCTTGCAGGACGCTCACAAGGAACAATTCACACTTTATTTATACTGTGAAATCTCCGATTTTTTCAAAGGAGCAAACTTTTGAATTTTACAAAGACACGAGTGTGAATTTTGATAACTGGGAAAAGATTTTCGAGCTTTAGTTGAAAACACGAAGATGACGAATTGATACGCTTAAGCTGCAAGTGTTTGGAGAAATGCTGTAGATAGTAAAAATTTTAAAGGGGGTCGTGCCGGATGCTATTACATGTACTCAATTTGTTATTGCAAAATTTGAGGGGTATAGTTTTATATTTTAAGATATAGTGTTGCGATAAATATACAATATTTTCTAAGTCAAACTTTTTTAAATGCATTTCCTAGGGAACGGACATGCAGGAGGTTCAATACTAGGAAATATTGCTTGAGACCGAGCTAGCAGGTATTGTGAAATAGATATTATTAATTATAATTTATGAATTAGGAAAATGCGCATATGAAATACAGTCAACTCTGGGTACAGTAACACACTTTACAATAACATTTAGATGTAATAACCTCAAATTCGTGTCCCCGATCACGCTATTGTAACCAGAGTTGACTGTATATTGAAGTTATTAGCGAGTATATGCTAAAAAATATATATCCTTACATTTATTAGTCTGCTTGTACAATGCATGTATCTCGCGTAAAATCATATTGATAGAAGTAACGGTAATTCTCATGCTATATTTTTTTATAGGGCTGGGCTGTGTTCTTATTTTTTATTTAATTTCATATCAAAAATATACATTTGCCAATGGGTATTAACTTATTGATAGGTATGCTAAAGAAAAAGTAATTAATATAAACAATATGAAAAACTATATTCGTTTTATTTTAAACCTTCCTAAGTGTAATGTAGTTATGGGTTTTATTGTTTTCGTTTTATTTGCAAAGATTCTATTAAATTTCTCAGAATAAGCAAAATATAGTCAATTTATAGCATATTCTATAATCTAGAAGATTATGATTTTATTTTAAAATTAAAAAGAATTCCCAGTATTTTTTTGGCTTAATTGATTGTTGCTTTATTCCGAGTATCAATCAAAGTTTGTATTAAGGGACTTTAGTGCAAATACATTTTTTATTTTATCATTAATATTAATAATTATGTATGCATTTACAAGCTTTCCGATATGAGAAAGAATAATGCTGGTTTTCATGCAATATCAGATTGGTTCGTTTTTTATTTATTTAAACAGATAAAGTTACGTATTCACATGTACGTAAATAATGATTGTAGTGTTTCATAATGTGATGTCTTGTTGACTTTAGTGCACTTGTTGTAACGATGATCAGGACTTATGGTTACCCAGTGTCTAATTGCGTTGTTTCCAAGAAAACTCAGAGATAAACAAGTTTTACTTCATCTATAAGGAAAATCCAAGTTCAAATTACGTAAATCAATCGTGCCGAAACTATATTAGACAAAAGAATCTCTGATTTATCATTTAGTTTTAGATTTATTTATTACATGTATTAAGTCGAAAAGATTGGTTCTAGAATTTTCACTTGAATTTAAAATAAGATGTACGTAACTCTACGTTCTTTATAGTCCGTTCAATTAGAGAATTATATCGAGAATTTAATTAATCTTTACTACGTATAACAAACTTTATTATATAGGGAGTTAACTGTAGTGATATGCATTAAGAGATTTCTGTTTTGTAAAATTAATTTCTTTTCATTAATTTTTCGCAAATGATGACCAGAAAAAAAAAAGAGAACAAACTGGTTTGGACATGGAAGATTCTGAAGCAGGGTCCAACTAAATAGTTGATGATTTGAGATCAGAAAATTTTACTCAGTGACAGTACACAAAGTATATGTACCGATACATGTACACGTATCACAACATCGATATTCTCGAAATCATTCTGTCTGGCTAATTATGAGAAGACGGTTTAATTGACTCAGGATTTACTAAGGTATTACATGTATTACTCACTTGGTCAACTTTTTTAATTAATAACAAATCTGCAGCTATTGCTACACGTACTCAAAACATACTTATCAATATCAAGTATCCCCTGTTAAATTGACTCAGAGAATACGAAGTTTGTTCACAAATTTCCTGATTAATCCAATATATTTTTTTCATTTAGAGATCTAATCAGCACAATTGAAAATTCACGAAATAAAATTCGATTATTGTATTTTATCTGTAAATTAATGTAACCTTTAAACATTAAATAAACTTGGTTGTGGTTTCGAAACAGATCCCGTAAGGTTTCATGTATGCTTGATTATATGAATTTTCGCTGATTATTTTGTAAAAACACGCTTTTATTCGATATAAAAGGTGTTTAACTCAAGTACGTGACACATATTATTCGAAAGAGAAAATTTTTGTTTTGCATGTCTTGTTTTCTTTTCTGCAATAAACTTGAATACTCTGCTCCTGCATTTATCGTTATTTCATTATACGAGAGAACCCAGGTCATTTAACCCGATCCAATTTTACTGTGAAAAAAATGATGGCATTTCTCGGTATTGGGTTACACAATCAAATTAACTGGATCTCGTCTTTAAAAGGACTACGTATCACGTTCGGCAGTGCATCCAATTCATATGCTAGTCGTCGGTGCATTGTCATATTTCATGCTCTGTTACTGTACGTACACTTCATATGTTAGCAGTGACCTTGAAATGACATCTATTATAAATTTGAAAATAGCAACTGGTATTGACAATTTGCCAACAATTGATGCTAGTAACCTTTTCAAACACTAATTGGCTAAGCAAACTATCAATCACAATCAAAGATATAAGTAAGTGTGGAATACATATGCTGTTTGCTGTGCATGTATAAAAGCTATCACAACATATTATTCCGGAATGTATCACCTTATTATTTGTGAACGGGGATCTAAATTCTATTGCGAAGAAGTTTAAACGTTAAAAACACTTATTTTCTCACAAATTGCATTTTTAAACAAGAAATTCCCTGGATTAATGCATGACAAAGAACAAAACTTTAATTTTCTATCGTATTTTGCAATGAAAACATTGTTAAACACCGGTTTGCGTTTTTTTTGCTGCAATAAATTTTCTCATTTAGCGCCATTTTGACTGACATAGAAATAAGGGGAAGAAAACAATTAATTTGTTTAGCTTACGATCCTCAGAGATTTAAACTTTGAAGTTTCCACTATTAAAAAATTTTACGGTGATCCCCTGATTTCATAACTAATTTATTTGGCCAGAATTATTCTGTGTATTGCATTTTGAGCAACAAAAAGAACAAAATTTTACATTTGTGAAGGTCTTCTTGTATACACGCATAAAATATATGCGTAACACATATAGTAATGGCAAATACTGTTCAGTATAATCAAAACAGATGGGCTGAGTACGATAGATTGTATTAGAGTTTATAATATAATTTACACCGTTTATATTGCACTTGTCCAAATTGTACGTATTGTATTAATATGTTTTAACGTTAAAGTTCTATAGTTTCTTAATTAGGACGTACAATCCTATGATACATGTGCATGTAACCAGACAGATTAGACCTTGAATTAAATTGAATTTACTTGCTAAGTATGAACTTTAAAACGTTGAGTTATAAGCACATAAACCGCGTATCTAGAATATCGTAAAAGTCTGTTTGTCCTGCATTTTCATGCATTTACATACTTAAATTGCGTGCGTAAAACGCCTTTTCGCACATCTTGTTATCTGCAGAGATAATTAATCGAATTTTAAAAAATGACAAACTCATTTATTTACTTTCTTAGAATCTAAGTTATGCTATTATTAGAGCACATATAGTCGGAACTTTATATTTCTTATGGCGCGCATTATTGGCTAATGCAATTGGATGGATATGTGAAATATGCGCATTTGCTAATGTTAGAGATAAGAAAACGATGCATATACTTTTACGTTTATCTTGCATAACGAAAATATTTACACGGCCCGCAATAATTAATTTTTTACTGTTCGCTCTTAATGAATGTAATTTGATAAAAATTTCTGAATTTTGAGCTTTTAGAATAGTTAGTCAGCTCCTTCGCATGAACCATATTTGGCTTCCTAGAGGCAATATCTCAACGTTTAAATTCCTAATCATTGCTACAACTACCTATTTTAATAGGATCAGTTAGATAGCGCATAAGGATAATCAGAAGTACATGTACTAGAATATCGTTTGTATTCTGACACAATGCAATGTTGTGCAAGCAAAAACGGTTCTTTTAGTAATCACCACATGTAGTATTGGGGACTTAATGGAAAAGAATGTTCACTTGGCGCTGCATGCACGTCAGAAAGTACATAAGTTTAACGCCGTATTTGGTTAATACATGCAATATTATTTAGTTGTAAACTTACTACATGTACTAATTGTAAAGATCATAAGGGCTGTGACAGATATTATGCGGGCGGTACTATACCGATATTTGCTGTCCATATTAATGCGGGATGTGGGATTGAAAAAATTTTATGCTTCATATAAAAAACCAAAATAGAAAATACATTGAAATATTAAATGGAATCGATCTAATTAACGTTAAATTTAAGGTTATGATCACAGGTAGAAAGGGGTGAGTATCCTAGGATGCATCTATGTACGTACACCCCAAATCCAATATAAAATCTTGATATGGTTAGTGTACATTCGTGTACGTCCGGAAAATTTTCCCGTAATAAAGATTGATGTTGAAGGTTGATTTTAAGATCAGCGTTAGGGTTAGAGTTAGAGCTGAGATTAAGCTTATATGTAAAATTGTCTTCCCGACATTTTTAATTAATACTCCAGGTAGATATAAGCATCTGTTTTCTCTATTATTTCATTTTTATCTTCTTGTGTCGGATTTGTTTTGCCGGTTTGATCAAAAATTTACGTATTCTCACTTGCTGCAGATCAAAAATGCACCTAACCAAAATAGATTGGGGTGTACATAGATGCACTCGAGTATCCTAGTTATTCTTGTTAGGAAATTTAAAATTAAACAATTAACACAGGTAAGGAAACTTCCTAGGTTTCCTATTAATTAAATTGTTTCATCAGTATTGTTGAATAACTTAGCACCCATAGTTATTACAAAATTGCACGCTGAACATTTTTTATTAGTCACTCAACCTTCGGTTTCCTTAATTATTTGTGATTGGCACCAAAACACTTGGGATCTCAAAATGATTAGTTGGTTAAAATTTTCACGTGATTTTTCGTTTCTGATTGGTCGGTGCTCATCACCAAGGATGACTATCTAGAAAAATTGGAATTTCGCCTACGAGGTTTCTAACACAGGAACACTATTTACTTGTGGATTAGGGTTAGGGTTAGAGTTAGGATTATATGTAAATTTATCTAAAGTGCAATTAGGAAAGTGTCATGTCGGGATGGGAAAATGTTGTGTCGGAGAAAGGGTATTCAGGTATTCTACCGCACCCAGTCATCGATAATGTCTTATGTTATGTCGCTATTGATGGTCATATGTTTTAAATATCTTACTTCGGTCGCTATTGATGGTCATATGTTTTAAATATCTTACTTCGGACGCTCAATAGCAAAAAAATCTTATCGTTAATACGCTACGTTAATAATGTTGGAAAAGTGATCCGATCCGTATTACTAAATTTACCATCGCTATTAATTTGGGGATAATTTCCTAGTATAAAATATTATTTCCAGCTGGTAATAGGAAAAGATGCCTAATAGATATATCTACACGCTGGTAAAATTTCACTTCATATTAAATATTAATTGACTGCAGATTCCGAATGGCAAAAAAAAACTAATAATTTACCCCCAAATTTAAAATCTCGAGTTTTGCACAGAATAATAATTTAACTAACAACCATGCTCTTATACTTCAATTTAATTAAACTTTTATAGCATTTTAAATTTTAAGTTAGCCAAATTGAAAGTATAGCGAGTAGTAAATTTATACAGAACTTGATCATTTATCAATTCTAATAAATACATATATTATCCTGAGTTTATATCGGAACTTTAAAGAACTATATAATGAAAGTACGTGTTTCTTTTTTTTGCAGCATCGCAAAGAATCAAAAATATCCAAGTTTCTTTTGTTACTTTATTAATCGGTTTGAAATAACAATGAATCAAACTAAAATTTTCCCGCTTGTACTATTGTTCATCTTTGCTATGGTAACGCGTAGAAGTCACTTCACACTAATAACACATACAATCAACCTTAAATTCTAACCGTGATGTATTAATTTCGAAAGCCGATACAAAGAACTCCATTCTAATCCATAGAAATCGACCTTGATAAATTATATTCTGATACGAGCCCAGCGATGCAACAGAACTCTTAGAAGAAGGTAATTTCAAAACTACATCGAGCTCTTTGAAATTCTATTTACCAATCGTAAATAGAAGAATGCCGCCACTATCGACGATACCGTCGAGACAGATACGGTCGCTCTCGTCGTCATCGTTACTATCCAGGATGCAGACATCAAAGATATTGTTGTATATATATAGATATTAGAAATTTGAATCATCTAATTGGTCCGATCCGGATATAATTGACTGATCACAATTAAGTCATAAAGATAACGATAATAAATAAAATATAATCTCTTTATCGTGATAACGATAATCGATTTTTAATACTAATGACTGACTGAATATTTGGTTTTTAGGCAGACATATTACAAGTGGGTCTTGTCATAATTATAGATGGGGGCCTAAATGCCGAATTAATTTGATCATCTATTGAAATATGTAAAAGTGCCAAATTAATTACGATGCCAAAAATAATTTACATAAACGCAGAAATTAACTGCGGCTTTTAGAACAACAATCTTGGTTCCATTAATAAATTTTCGTTACATATAATCGATGATTGAGGGTAATGTCGTTATATCGATATCTCATTTTGAATGCAATTAACTAATATTACCGTCAGTATCGGTATCTTTTTGAGAAAATAATATATTTGTGTTTTTAGAGAAAAATATTAATAACTGTAACCCAGACGTTCACACTTCAATGCCAAGGATAATTGTGGTCCATTCACACCGTTACATAATCAGATCGATCATTACATGTACTGTATATCAATATCGATATATAGTTATTGAATTAATTTTAACCAATGAAAAACAAAATATTGCTTCTTTTTCAAAAATTAAGCATGTACAGCACACACGCATGACATAGAACATTTTTTATTTTAAGCCTCGATTTAGAATCTTCGAATGGTTATTAACGTCAAAACAAATTCTATCGCTGTCGTACACCTTGTACAATAAAAATTACATACTGATGCATTCATTTATTAACAATAAGAAGCGGTTCGTTTGTTTATATTTCATCAATTTTTATCGTTGCGAATTTACATAAAAGCTATAAAATGATAAACCAGTTTTTATTTTTTTCTCTGAAGATAACAAGAGTTTTTTCTTGTAAACTATTGGGAAAATTATTTAAATTATTACAAAATAGAAGGCCGAGAGTCTCTTTCTCGTTGATTTGGATTATAGCATTACTGTGGGGTGAACTTTTTATATTTAATTTGACGACTTGGAAATGTCCATGGCCGGAGTTGAAGGAATGGGTGACTATTGTTTACTAGTATTTGCCGTAGATTTACACTTTAAAATTTGTATTAGGCATCTGATTACTGAATTTATTCAATAGGATCAAAGTATAGCGAAGCCGATACACATGCTACTAATAGCTGATCCACGAACGCTCAATGAATTTGTACTTGAAAGAACAGGAAAAACAGGGATATTTCAAGAATTCCCTCAGAATATGTATATGCGTAAAAATTGGCAAAACATACAAAAAGCATTACTACCTGACGCTGTAATGATATTAGGAGATTTGATAAACGAGGGAAGAAAATGGGATAATGTAAAGTGTGTATTTATTCCACGACAAACAAAAGTCTGTTTGTTTCAGAATTTACTCAAATTAACCGTATGTTATTACCATTAGATGGGAATTAGCAATACATCGATTCAACATTATTTTCATGCAAACACCATCTCTTAAACAAGCACCAGTTTTTTATTTAGCTGGAAATCAAGATATCGGATTCGGGAATAATAATGTATCATACGAGGCATACAATCGTTTTCGCACGGTGTTCGGTAAGACAAATTACTCACTCAAAATTGGTAATCACTCTATAATAGCCTTAGATACGGTAACGTTATCAGGAAAAAATGAAAATTTATCACTCGAAGCAACTCATTTGATCGAAGGGCTTAAAATGGATTCAAATAAAGCACCACGAATACTTTTCACGCACACTCCGCTATATCGACCTCCCAATACCGATTGTGGGCCACCACGACAAAATAATCGTCACATTCTCGATGAATCGATTTCCACTTTGATTTTGGAAAATGTTCGACCGAAACTTGTATTTAGCGGAGATGCTTATAATGATTGTGAAATTCGACATAAGTCTGTGGATGCTGTTGAGATTACCGTTAATAGTTTCAATTTTGCAATGGTAAGTTAAATTAATCGGAGTTATATTAATTATACATGTACTTAGATGAATGCTTAATTTTAGGGTCCTGGTCTCGTAATGCTAAGTCTTTATAATCCGTTTAACTCGTTCGACAACCAAATGCCTACATATGCATACTCACAATGTCTTTTACCAAATCCATATGTCATATACTCTTATTATATCTACCTGTTGACCTTAACAATAGTCTACACACTAATACACACATATATAAAACAAAGGGACGATCACGCCAAAAGAAACGAATGTCTTCTACCTAATCATCATCATCATCATCATCATCACCATAATCATCAACCACACTCTGAGACAACAATTATAACTTTGCTACAATATTGGATAATTGTTTTTCAGGAGTTGATGGTGATTACGTTTTTCAGTTTGGTCACTTATCTGTTTTGTATTGGTATTTTTTGTCTGGATAACATCAAGTTTCTTCAGATGATTTCTCAAACTCAAAAAGCTTTATTACTTGAAAACTAATCAAAATAGAGATAAACATACAACAATAAATTTTAATTTAATGTAAATAAGAATTTCCTTATTCTTTTGAATACAAAATTCGAAAATTAATTAGTTACAAAAATACTGCAGACAATTACCTGTCTATTGTCAATTCGGAATTCTACTCTTTCTCTAAATCGATATTTTTAAGCGCCTCTTCTCTCTTGTCAATAATATTTAGTTGTCGTTGTTCCATTGACATATCTCAAGTAAAATTCTCTATTGCCTTTCTCTTCTTTATCGTTATTCATTCTTGCAAGATTATATATAGATCACACCCTCTTCCGAGTTTTTATGGACTCATGATGTTACTCCACCGACATATCCTTCGTGAGACTCTCCAAAGAAATTCGCTTGACCTTTATTAGTTCTTCTCTTCCAAACTTTTAGCTCCATCCAGTCAAAATTCCACAGGCGTCATTTACATCTCTATATATGAGTTCGCACCCTCACACTCGAGCATCTCCCAATTTCTGATGTATCCATCCACAGCAGCTAGATTCCTTGCTCGTATATGCCTCTCCGACCACCTTAACCCTCTTTAAGTCTTCCATGAGCTCTCTGCTGTTGATCTTGCGATGTCGCTCCGGACTATAGATTATGACAACATCAAAGTTGTGGATGTGTTGTCTCACAGAATAAGGTGAATTCATTGTCGAATGCGGACTTGAGCCCGACGCCTGTTGTTAGGTTTGCGTGAGGAGGCTCGGGTAGTACGAATACCTTAAGGTAAATGAGTATAAGAGAATACCCAATAATAAAACATAATGATTCACCAAATTAAGAATGTACGAAAATCTGGATTTGGTTCTCATGAGGGGTCACTTTCTTTTTCTCATAAATGACTTGACCATTACTGTTGATATCGACTCTAGATTAGCTTGGAATCATTATTGCCCCTCCAATTGCAATGCTCGTGATGAAGAGATGTGTTTTTGAGTTACAGCAAGTTGTAAAGGATTTTTGGCAGTGATAGAGGGGGTGTGGTGAATGCCAGGGTAAACACGACAGTTTTTGTTGGCGGATTGTGATGTGGCACCTTATGACTTTGGAGTAAGCATCGGTGACGTGATCTTTCTTTTACTGCTAATGCCTCTAAGCTCCTCTGAACAAGATTTCGTGCTTGAATCTCTTATTGCCTCGTCTAGCATGTTATACGGAACCTCCGCCATGAAGAATCAGGTATCATCATCGATCTGTTGCCGTCGAAGAGTGTCCAATTTACTCCATATGCAGAATTTACTCAAATCTACTTCAAATTCTGCAGAATTTGCAGAATCGGTGTCCAGCCCAAGTATACAAAATCGATTATAGGCAAATCTAAAGTTGTGTTTTAAGTATTTTTATTGGTTCACGTCACATATGCAATCGAATGCAGTAAATTACTGCGCAAAAATGCAGTAAAACTGAAAACTCAAGTTGGAGTGTGCGGGAGTGGTTTCCTAGAAAATTTCTAATAATTCATTTAATTTAGAAGAAAACCATACAAAATCATTAGGAAATTCTATAGGTTCACCAAAAAACCAACCCTTTTCTATCTGTGATAAATGACGCAGTGGTTGCCAAATTACCTGAATGACAAATTCAGAAAGTTGATAATTTGTATACAGATATCAGAAAATATAAAATTTGTCTTATATACTTATCAAAACTTAGAAAAATCGTAGACAATTGATAGAAGAAATGATATACGAAAGTCTCAATTCATTTAACTATTTTTCGTTATAAGAAAACTAATAAGAATCTTTGATACAATATAGTCGGAACGAATTGCTCTTATATCTCAAGTTTTATTTAATTAGTGTAAATGTATAACGATAATGATTAAAAATTTACAAATTAAGATTTAGCGTTAGTATTAAATAATACATCATTGATTCATTCAAAATTACGTACTTTCAATTAATGTGAATAAGAATTTTGAATGGCTTTCTATGATTATAAACTGGATTCGCCGATTTTCTCAGATATCTATTATCTTTACACAGCCAGCTTTAGCTTGCAAAATATTTTTAATGTGCAACCTCCATGAACATATGAAAACAGAGAAATGTATTTTCGATGTCATAAATAATATTTTTAAAAATGTGCCAATGTTATCATGTTTAGTCTATCTTATATCGTATATCCTAATGTTGGTATATTGGTGTAGGAAAAAGAAACATTAAAATCGTCTTTGTTTGCTTTTAACACTATCTCTACACCTGTTTCCCTTCTTATTTTCTACCACAATATTGAGTACATGAATCACAAATTCGTCCGAATTATGTATCTATGATTCACCGGGGGAAGGGCGAGTTGTAGTTGACTTGAGAGGATGCATGATCACATATACTCTTAAACTCGTTTATCCAGTAAAAGATTATTTCTATGCTTTTTTCCATTGAACAAAATTTCAAGTGAGAGTGATTCAATCGTGTAAAATGTTTTTCAGTGTATGTTTAAAAATTAAAATTAAATAATATCGATAAAACTAAAATAATTCTGCCCTAAAACAAGATCATATAAATGAAGTAAATGGCAACGAACAAAAAAATTTCCGGATCTTTTTTCATGTGCATGTTTGAAAATTTCAAATACGCATACATGAGAAAGAATAAGAGAGCAGATTCCATCTTTTTTTAGTGCATGTTTCCTTGTAATTGCCGGTTTAATAGAAACATTTAAATTAAAATTTTAATCACTCATTTGATTGTGTACTTCAATTGAGGGAAATATAATCAGAAGTTTCAGAACGAGATAAATACAAAAGTGTTTCTAAGACCGCTTGATCGATATTCGCAAGACTTTGTTGACGATTTACTCACAAATGCTAACACGATAGCTAGAAGATATGATATACAGTCCCCGGCGAAAGTAATGGCGGTGAGATTGTTATATAAATTTTACTATAATACTACCATTTTTTATAGAAGCAAAATATATAAATAATAGTGAGCAAGATAAAAATGTGATGAATTTGCGAAAATCTAATATGAGCACCTCATTTCTCGATTGCAGCTTTTTACAATTGTCAAAATTTATTTCCTCGATAACCAGTGATCATATTTGGTCTTATTATATTCGCCTCAATAAGACGACCAATTTTTTTTAGTCAAAAACGTTAAAGTTACAAAATTTCTTGAACATTAAATTATATTCGAACTTGCATTGACACGGAAAGAAAGCACAGCAGATACTGATATTTTAGGGGCATAATGCCCTATTCAGAGGTATTTTCAAAATAATTTTATTATATTTAATGAAATAATAAAAAAAACTTGCCGCCATTACTTTAGCCGGGGACTGTATCGAAGACTATGCTGAACGAAGGAGATAAAATAACCCATAAACCGATTCTGGTTCGCTGGATCAGGTAAATACATTTTCTTATAGCGCATAACATCTAAACTCATCAATAGATAGTATGTTATAATTCAAGAAACTTCTTACCTAATGAGTGAATTCAAATTTACTCTATGATAGAATAGGCCTTTCTTGATATTGTGAATTTACTTCTTAGTTAAAAAGTTTATTAAATTTATAACATGTTATGCACCATATTCATTTTGAACTTTTTGAATATCTACTTTTAATAACATAATTTTAAATTCTACTATATCAATATTTAACGATTAAAGATTGTATTTTACTTCCTGGTTAAGAAGTTTAACGAATTTAAGGCATACAATTTTATCGTTATTATTGATTATAGGGTTGGTATACCATATAAACAATCCATAACGATAAAGAGGAAATCTATTTGAAAATTCTTCGAAGAAAAAAAATATTCGCGCGGGAGTAAAAATCATTATACTTTATACAGGAGGTTCAAGTAGAAAAACATATAAAGTTTTTTAACCAAAAGATTTAGCAAATATTAAAAACAATCAAGCGTGATATTAACGTTATATACGTAGTAGAATCATACCAAACGAAAAAGAATACTTTGAATTTCGAAATTTTTTAATCGATTTTGCTAAGAGAAATCGATATCGATATGTATGACTAAATACGTATGCACAGTACGTATTCTTGTGATTACGCATATTTAAAAGAGCATTAAGAAATGCATAATGCTGCTGCACAATCTATATTGTAAATTAACTTTAACGAGCTACATGTATAAAAATATTTTATTGAACCTTGCGCTTGACTAGAAAAATTGCGTTTATGATTAACGACAGACCAAAGTTCGTGTCTCATTCATTGGACACCGAAATCGACTGAAAGAATATAAATTGTTCTGTGAAATCGTTTAGGCTTTGAAAGAATATAACTATAACATACAGACACAAAGATTTGTGTTACTACGTATCTCACACACAACATTAGAACTTTATCCAAAAATAGAATCGCAAATCGTTTGTTCGAGAGTAATATTCATTCATATTCATTATTCATAATGAAAAGAAATGATTTTTACTTGTCACCACCAATGAAATCCTTTTTTCTTTATACGTAACGATAATGATAGCCATTAATAAACTAGAATTGCATGAATAAATAGTATGAACTTACGTGGTACAATGTTGCCTAAATGAGCATATATGCGGTTTCATGCTTTTTTTGGTAAGAATAAATTGACATTTATTGGTGTGCTCTCATTACATGTATTCATTTACTCAATGATAATTAGAAATACGTACGTATGTTGCATGTTGTAATATTGAATTTCAAAAACTATCGTTTTGAAAGTATAATAGTAATAATTTTTGGTAGAATAATGGAAAAAATGGAGACTTTGAAAATCCTCGAAACCTTTTCATGCTATCCCTAAAAAATTCGGATAAATTTATTTTTTATTATTACTTTTAATTATCATAGAAAATTAAAAAAAATGAATGCAAATCTGCGGAGACAACTACAAAATTTTTTTGGATTTTTCCTGATTCTATCTACAACTTTACTAAAAGATGTATCTGCCGCTTCACAACCAGTCCAAGGGCACTGTTCAGTAACATACAAAGATAGAATTTATATTTTCGGCGGATCGTTAAATGATTTCTCTAGTCCACAAAATTATTTTCTTTCAACTCGAGAGCCATTTGATACTAATAATAGTTCGAGTGGAGATGGTCTCGAATGGAAAGTGGAAGAGCAAACTGGGTCAACTTGTGTTAGTTATGCTGCCTGCGTAACAACATCTTCTGGATATCTTTTGGTAATTGGAGGCATTCAAAGCTGGGATAATAAGACATCTACTCAAACTTTCCAAATTTATGATTTCAATGCTGCTCAATGGGTTAGATCCTCAATGAAACTGAATGAGCCTTATCCTGGTGCTTCATATGGACCGCGTGCAACATTCATATCTACAAATTTATTATTTATTTATGGAGGAAATACATTGGATTCATCGGAAGTTTCTTTTCAATCAACCGCCGTATTTCTTGATATTGGTGGGGAGAAATGGAATTGGACAAAGAAAGATCGAAGTGTATGTTTTGTTTTTGTTAATAGAAAATTTCTTGATAGAAAAGTAGTTAACAGAAAATTATTTTTTTACCATTAAAAAAATAAAAAAGTCATCAATAGACGAAACAGATGCCTCTTACTCTGGAATCATTACGGTGAATTCAAATGCATGGGTTTTTGGCGGATCAACCTATGCTCAAGACCGCGAAAGTCCAAATAAATCCAACAAAATTTATCTTTTCAACATGGACAAGCAATGGATTCCCGCAGACGTATCATTACCGTTGGCCGTAGAACATTCCGCAATAGGCATTCGAAAAAACACGTTATTTATTGTTGGTTATTCCGAGCAGTCGTTGTTGATCTGGTCATTGGATTTAGTGAGTCGAAAGTTTGTAGAAGTTTCACGAAATTCGTCAATTTCCGTCCAGAAATTTGCACATGCGCAATTTTCAGGATCGGATGCGATAATGGTAAGCGAGCATACATTCATTGGATCGATAACAGAAATTCTTGATTAACTTATATTTTATTTTGTAGTTGCATGGAAATTTTTGTTCAGAGGATGAAACAAAAGAATCATGTTCAGCCACCGCGAACTTCAAGATTTTTAATATGACAACACGCTCATGGACAAATAAAATGAATGTTGTTGATACTTATAATAGTTGTATCACTAGTAACAATAATTTAGATCTCACATCGAGCGATAATGATTCCGGTAATAATACAACAAATAATGCTAATACTGCTGATAGTAATCAAGCTACAACTTCAAATAATGAATCAAAAATCAAATTAATAGAAATAATAAGTGGCGTTGGTGGAGGAATAATATTAATAGCAATAACTGCTGGAGTTATCTTTTGTATTCATAAAAGACTACCGAATCATGGATCTAAACAATCAAAGCAAAAACAACAACAACCAACGCCAGATGATGGAGAATCTGGAGGTGATGATATACTACCAACTGTAATGCGAGACCCATCATCACAATTTAACACTTCTTCCTCGATTCTCTCAACGGAAATTGATCCATTTTATAATCGAAGTTCACGGCCCACTTCTCCCACGCGACTGGGAGGAAGTCCAGGGTCACGCCCAACGTCGCCAATGAACTTTCGACCCGAAATAATTAGTATCGTTGGAGAATCTCCAAAAGAATCACAAATTATGGATGATTTGCCTCTTCCTCCTCCTCCCGTGGCCGATCATTACGCTGGGAGATCTTCTATTGGACAATCGCATAGTAGTGTCAATAGCGATAATTTGCCGATATCTTTTTACTCGCACGAGAGTGGAAATAGTTCCCCGCCACGTGAATATAATTTATAACGTTGAACATTATTGTTGGCAGTCTAATGTAAAGGTCCAATTTGATATATTATGTACGAATTAATTTACATGTAATTAGAAATAATTAAAATTTAATTAATAATAAGGTTTATAACAATAATTAACTATTTTATTTAAATAGATTCATTACCATAATCTTTTCTTTTGTTTACTTACATTCTTGGTGAAAGGCTTTTGTCGTTATGATGTTATCGTTATCTATTTTTACGTACAGTATGTAGCGGTAGTTTGTAGTTCCTTGCCATGTTTTGTTTAGATATCGCAATTTCTAAAAAATGTAATCAAAAAAAGATTATTTTCTTGCAAAAGAATTTAATTACAAGCAAAGTGATATCTTTTTATCTCAGTAAACACACTGGATTTTAGAAAGTATTACAGTTTATATATTCACTAAAATATGTATATAACGATAACAATATCGATTATGTTAGTAACTCAACAAATTCTCTATGGCATACCAATACCGTATTCTTTTTTAATATTTGCCTCTAAATAGATTATGATTGGTTTTTTATTTTGAGTACAAAAGTAAATTAATACCAAGGACACCAGTGCAAACAAAATGTACAATTACGTAGAAACAAATTATTTTTAATAGCATTAAATCCATCCAACGTTATTGAAAAAATCCCACATCTTGCACGACTTGTTAACGTCCATTTTCATTATTTTCTGAGCATCGCTCTTTAAGAACGGTAACCCACGTGAATAGTAACGGCGAGCCGTAGAAATAAACACGTGTTTTACAGTTAGATATTGAACCGGGGTTAACCGTAATGTCGAAGCAACTTGTGCCTCTGCTTGATGTAACAAATTGTAATGCGGAAGTTGCTCTATTTTCAACGGATTTCCTTTCCATGTAATAGTTTGCTGAATGCTCGATGGCAAATTGTCCAATTGCATTCGATTTAACTCGTGGTAAGTATTGTAAACATCAGTTGAATGAAGCGAAGGAAGCGGAACTTTAGAAATATTCATGTCTTTTGGACGCTGCTGTTGAATCGGCGTCTGATCTGCACCACGATCTACCATTGCTCTTGCTAACGAACTACCGGCCACTCGTCTCGTTTTTTTGTCCGTTAAATCGGGTTTGTGAATTGGAAGAATCGAGTAACTCGGAGATTTTTGTTTAAGTCTTTGTAGTTCGCTGAGGTTTTCCTCTAAAAGCCCTTTCGGATCCTTTTGAAAAATACTGAATATATCGGGATTCATTTGAATTCCGATTGATGCTTTATCCGGTGATCTCTTTGGATATGGATTCTTTCGACGGTGATTTCGCGGTAAAATCTTGTGATTTTTGATGTTTGTATTTGTATTTGCAGGCGTGGCTGATGATGTTGCGACTAAATTTAGATATGTTTGTGGCAGTTGAACTAATAATTCATGTGGTGCTTCTGCTAATGTGAAACGGTTTCTGCGCGATGTCGGATATGTAAGGTAAGTCGGCGGAGTAATTGGAGTATGTTCAGCAATGCCATCATTTGGTCTGAGTGAAGTAAAAGTGACAGTCTTGGGAGTAAAGGGTGAGTTCTCTAATCGCGTATCCTCTACGGGAGATATCGGTGGGGTATTTAGACTAGTGTTATTTAATAAATTTGCGAGCTTGAGGTTTTGCAGCCTCTGTTGCTGACGATCAGTCAAAGATGAAAGTGTCTCCATTGTTTTGGAATTGTAGTTGATAATATCAATAAATGGAATTGAATGCAGTTTTGCCAAAGTCGTCAACTGCTAATCTGTTACGACCAATTGATTGCAACAATAATCGTTGTGAGAATAATACTAATTGACCAGAAAATAAATAATAATTCGATGAATTTTTAGCGAGTCCCTAAAAGTTTGCTCAATGGAGGTTTTTATTTAATTATTCGCTAGAAAATTTGCTATTAAAACCTTCTTCAACTAATTAAAGAAAAATAAAAACAAAAGATAAATGATGATGACGGATAGATGAAGAGAAAAATTCTGATGTTCAATATCGGTTTTGTCAAGTAAAAACTTCAACAATAAGTATAAATTTAGTGTGCACTATATATCATCTGCTGATAGATAGTTATGGTTTATTTCCATTTATATTTCTATGCATGAGTATGCATGAAATTAATTGATAATATTATTATACGTATCGGTATGGTGCCTGCTTATGACAAACGAAAAAACGTGGTGGTATTCGAATTTACTACTATTTCCATTGTATTTGGTATTTATTTTTAGGGTAAAAGTTATTATTCCTTTTCGTTCGTATGTTTTATTTGCTTCCCAGATAAATTTGTCTTTCTCGTTTAATACACAGTATATATAATCTCTCACTCTATTAATTTACTGTCATTATCATTATCTTATTGTAGTCATAATTTGGATAATATGCATCTGTGGTTGCAATTATATATTTTAATGTTCAACATAAACCATCCTATGGTGTACATTATTGAATTCTTATTGTTACTCGTATCTCTGTGACTTTTAAAATGAATGTGAAAACACAAATGTAATCAAGGGAATTACGTATTACTTCACATACTGTATTTTATATGCATACGTAATTATCTCATTGTCAATATATACCGATACAGGCTTTTACATTAGCTCTATGTGGTGGTGCAGTAGATCTGTTATAGTCATGATCAAAGCATTCATGCTCTACTATCGTTATGAACCAAAGAATCAAATATTCGATTGTCTTGTGTTCAATCGATAAAAAAAACTAGTTTTCGGATTAGTGTGTATGTGTGAATGCTCCTTTGTTCTCGTGTATGCGCAACACCACCGTTGTACTTTGTTTTCAGATTTTTTTTGCAATATGTAAACAAATGTACTACTACCGCCGCTTCGACGAACTTCTTTTATGGTTGTCTTTCAGGTCAATGCTGAGTTGATTGCGTGCTCTAGTTTTTCGAGTCTTTCTTTATCCGGTTGATTTTTTCTTCCTCCGTTAATTTTATCGTATCAGAAGAAACAAGATCGAACTGAATGAATCATATGTAAAAGAAAAGATGAATTAAAGAGATGAAAAGATAAACGAGAAGAATTTCTCTTCACTAAACTTCAAAACTGTACGTGCACTTTGATTGCATTATAACGAATATGAAGAATTGGATGCACCGCATCATTTGCATCGGTAAACAAACAGAGTTTTTTTTTTGATCCTGTGAAGACATCCGTTGAGAAACTAATAAGACCAGTTTGATGTGTAGCAAATAAATAATTCTTTTTGGTTGTTTATAATAGACTATTATAGATATTCTAATCTCCAAGGAATAGTATATCAAAACATCAAATCACCATTATGCACTCCCCTACTTACCGAAAGGATAGGCCTCGATTTTTCTGGCGAACTGCCACATGCAACTATTAAATCAAGTAGAATGTTATTGGGTCAATACTTTCGGGAGGAAAGCGTATGTACATCAGCGACATGCTCTTTTTTCAATTTCGCTTGTGCATGTGCATGTATATACCGAATAACCAAAAATGCAAGCAAACCCGGAGCATAAATATGCATAAGCATAAGGAATTAGAAAATTAAGAGATACCATATTAGAATCAACTTGAGCAGCCAATTTGACTTGAATCGAATCAAAAGAAGAATTATATATATATATATAGAGACGACTCACGAATTGTTCGATGCAATTCGCGGAACACAAGGAAATAAATTAACGAGTTTTGCTATTTTTAATCCGGTGCATTCATATTCTTGTTACGAACGATTAGTACTTGATTGCATTTATGGGTCTGGAACGGTAACTTTTATTGTTTTTCATTTTAGTGCATATGAAATCATGCACGAAAACCATTGTTAAAATTACCAGCCAAGGACTTTAAACGTAGATTCAATAATGAATGAAAAGCGAAAAGGCCTCAGGAAGTTAACGAGTATCAATAGCACTGTTTCATTTATTGTTATTCTTATATCGGGCCAGGCGTGCCTAAGAATGCATTAATAAACTCCAAAGTTAACGACTTTTGGAGAGGTGTGCAGATGCCGTATAATCACCCTCCCTACAATCACATCTTTTTTTATGAGACATAAGAAATTTAACCTCCAGATATGATTATACTGCAGCTTATATTGACACGTGATTGTGAAAATTTTGCATTTATACTATATCAACTTGCGTTTCTTTCGTTGATAGTACATGTAGCATTGAATAGCTATAAATTCATTTGTTGATATCGCGCTAAAAAGATCGTTTGAATTTTAGAGCATAATCATTAAGTATTTTGAAACATAGGTAATATCATTTTATTCTCACAATGCATTCATTCGTCAAATAAATACAAAATTATGCGGACACTAATCACCATTTCATGAATCAGAATTTTATTTTCGTTGACTATTTTTCTACATATTTTCAATGAATTTTTTTTAACGAAACGGTCACTTTTGAACGGTGTCCAGTGATCGTTTGCGTTCACTGGACACCAAGCTATCACGTTCAAAAGTGACCGTTTAAAAATCGATGTAATCATCCCAACAGATTCAAATTTGGTGATGTTAAAAATGCTTCCACCCGAATTAATTGAAAATGTGCTTAATCTAATTTTCGCTAATGGTGGCCGACCAATATATGTAGAAAAATAGTCGACAAGATTAAAGTTCTAAAATGATAGTTTTTTCATCGTTATTTTACTCTATAAAGTGTCTGCATAATTTTGATTAAGAGTTGGAATCATCATCGAACAAGCTGAAGTCAAGACTTGCTATTACTCTACTATTTTACTTTTCGGCAGCATTGATAACTAAGGCTAGCCGGTGATATTTGCATTTTTGAAGATTTCGATCGGTTATCTTAGTTTCTACGTTATCTTGATTGTTATTAACCTAACTTAGAGGCTCATTCAGTTATTAGAGGATTAATTTAATAAGTTTACACAAAAATTATGGTCGATTCAACGTGGTGGTAGGTTTCACTGTATATTGAAAAAACTTGTTATAATGAAAAAAATTCCAAGAAAACTACTTCATTATAACGAGCTTTGCCTGTATATTGTATATCCCACTTGGACAAGGGAAAGGGTCCTTCTATCTTGGTCAGGCTCGATTGAACGATATCATGTCTTGAATCTGCAGTCATATCACGTGATAAAATGTAGATGGTGACGTAATTTTCCTCTGATTTATAAGAAAAAAAGTTACTTTTATTATCTCATTTGATGTAAGACTGTTTGGCGCCTTTCACATTCTTTCTCAACAATTATCTTGACCTTTGTTTTTTCTTATTCCCATATTCTGCTTGAATATTAAAGTTGTAGATCCACGTGACGACGTTGGATCTGGTTGGTTGCGACGCAAGGACCCAACCAAGACAATTATAATTTTTTTCACACCACCGGATAACAATTAATTGGTTTTGTTTCGGTTTCTCTTTTGAACGAACAATAATAATAAGCAACAATAATAACGAGAATAGTTGAGAGAAAAAAATAATAGTTTAATAATATTTGGAATAAAATTATTGCCAACCAAAGTAACAATTCATTGTAAAAGAAAAATGGTCAGACCAACCAACACACAACCAGAAGCAAAAACCAATGGAGAAGATCTGGTAAAACCTTCTAATGCAACTACTAAACTCTCACTTTCTGATCAACCCTCGTTGAAAAGTGATAACGTATCACCGACAAAACACTCCATAAACGTGGTAGCGGTGGAAAAGTTCAAGGCTGTTAATATGAACGGGGAGAATAATAACGGTAATAATAATCATAACAATGGGGTCAACGGGACAACTAATGAACCTTCTAATAAAAGTAATCACAGTAATAATGATGGATCAAATGTTATTGTGAACGGAAAGAACTCTGATATCCCAACTATTACCACAACCGCTACTGTTACTGAAAATAGTGTCGATTCCTTAAAAAACGAGGATGTTGTGTCCAACGACACTAATAAAGACGAAAAAAACACTAGTATCAATAACGATAACGAACAACAGGTGTCGTCACCATCTTCATCGGCAGAGACAAAAGAATCTCAACCGTTGAAAAAAATCCCGATACCTGCTCCGATCCCTTCCGTTAACTTTTGGGAAGTCAGAAGAGAAGCTATGCAAAATGCAAGAAAAGTACCTGTTACTACTATTAGTAGTATTACTTCTGATTTTCATCCATCCAATGTCGTTGCCTCTAATAATAAAAGTAATAATATTGAGAAACAATGCAAAGAACCTTTAATTGATAATAATGTTAGTAAATCCGTAATCACAAAGACATCATCATCATTAACAAATACTACAACAATACCATCAACGACGAACAACTCGAACATTATTAAAGATCAAGAATCTCTGGATGGTATGCATCATCATCGTAAATATCATCATCATCCTCAGAGTCACCATTTAGTCACAAAAGATTAATAGAATGATTAAATATTACTATCTTGCAATGAAAATTATTAAATATATTTCTCTTTTTCGATGATTAATTAGATTCCAAGAAATTCTTAAAGAAACCAATTACAAAAACAATAACAACAATCACAAAACATAAATTGCCTTCGATAATACCTCCCTTGGAAGATCAAAGCAGTTGGCCTGCACCGGGTGAAGTTTTGATAAAAGATAAAGAAAAGGAGGCAAATGAAAATCCAGAAAGAAAACAATCTATGGATATTTCTAAAAGGGAAGACAGCAATCCGAAACGAGGTATTTTTCCTGTCTTAATTGATTTATTATTCTTATTATTTATTTCTATATTAATTGATAGGTAAGGAGAAATGGCTCCCGTACACTCCAATAACAATCACTCATTCCACGCCACTACCAAATCACGGGCAAAGGCATCGTCGTCGCAGTGAGGATGCAGTCTCACACACTAGCACTAGAGAACGTCAAACAATTATTGAAGAGCCAAATAATAATAACAACCCTGAATCTGAAACATCAACGTCAACAATAACAACAACTTCACCTTTACTAGTATCATCGTCACAACAAAATGGCAACTCAAATCCAAGACGTCGTGCTAATCTATCACACAATGGACGTGAACAATACGGTCGTCGATATTCTCATTCTGATAATGGACAATATGTACATCATACAAATAATGTTCCATTTCGCGGCGGGCGAAGAGGATTAGGAAGTAGGGGTAAATATTAATAGTCATAAAATATACTTCTATATGGGGGATTGAATAATGATATCATTGATATTTAATTTATCAAAAAAGGCCGATCATATCATGGAACTCGTGTTCTACCACAATCAGCAACATTTTCTTATCCTACTGGCTGGCCACATCAATTTGGAAACTTTTATGCTGTAAAGATGCCTTCATATGTTTATGACGTAGAGCTTTTAAAGTATCACATACTTCAACAAGTGTATGTATTCAATTTTTTCAGTCATTTTTTGATGGTTAATTAATTAATTAATTTATTTATGATCTATTGATGACTTTTTTAGCGAATACTATTTCAGCGTCGAGAATTTATGTAAAGATATATATCTACGAAGTAATGTTAGTATCAAGTGTTCAATTCAGTTTGGTCTTAATAGGCATGAAATATATTAAATTATGTGAATATTTTAGATGGACGCGTATGGTTTCGTTGACATATCACTGTTAGCTAATTTCAATCGAGTCAAACTCTTGACTTTAGATGAAAAACTTGTTCGTGAGGTACGATAATCTGTGAATGTAATTTCTATTCACTTTATCTTTAACAATTATCAACTAATAATAATTAATAATTAGGCTCTCCTCAATAGTTATGTGATTGAGGTCAGCAACGATAAAGCTAGAAAACGCGATGGTTGGGAAATGTGGTTATTACCGAATCAACCCCAAGTAAGGAGTAAAATTTAATGAGCAAAAGATTCTAAATACGAATCTTTTTTAATTTGGTTGCTTTTGTTATCTAGCAAAATATAAGCGAACAAACTCTGGCAGAATCGACATATAGTGATGAATCTCTAGCCTTAGAGGAATACAATAGAGAGTACGAAAACATTAATAGTGACTCTGAGGCGACAAATCATGTAAAAAGGGAAAGTCAAGGACTAAAACAGGAGCAAGGAGAAGAACATGACAAACAAGAAGTGGAAATAGAAAGTACTGCGGAAACATTTCCAACGATGACGACGATAAATGAATTAGGTGAATCCTATGAATCACCGTCACCCAATGCATCAAATCTAACAACGACGTTTACAACTTTTATTCATAATAACACATCCGAAAATTTTGAACCTTTGACCGCGACAGCATCAAGATGATTATGATGATTACCATGATGTAGATGGTGTCTTAGTAAACACAAACTATAATTATCCAAAACAAAATATATATATATATATTTCGAGAGACCATTGCGTATTATATTATTACGCGTAGAAGATTATACATATAAGCCAGAGTATCCAGACTCTTGCTGTTTTTTTCTCTGTTTCTTTTTTTTCATAAAGGTTTCCTTAATAATCATTATTCTTTATCTAGCTATTATTATTATTATTATTATTATTCTTTTTACCAAAATCGAACCGGATCAGTCAGCTATCATCTAGACTTTGCAATATGCTCTTCATACACAAAAAATCATTAGTTTCTTTTCAATTACTTTTTTGTTTATGTTAATTTAGCATTAGCATATATATATATATATATAATAATCCTTCTCTTGTCATAAACCTTTTTCTTTTTTCTATTTGCTATTATTTTTTACTCTATTGATGATAATATTAATAATAATCACCACCATTTTATAAATATTATACACATTAATATATATGAATAATTTGATTTCTTTTTTTTTAGCTTTTATTTTTGCGTTCAACAAATCAATTAGCAACAAAAATCCATTGTTGATTTGTATGTATTTATGTAAATTCCATATAAAACAAAAGACAAAACTGAGAAATATAAATGATCAATGATTAATTGCGTGGTATTATTTTTCTTGATTATTATGATAATCATGGATGTGCTTTTTGAAAAAATAAGAATCAACAAGTGAAGCTGCTTGATAACAACTCACCCACTAACGATTCTGCCCGGAATTAACATAATACCAGGCGAGTTGTGGTAAGGTTTTTTTATGTAAATAATATATATAGAATTTTTATATACATAAAGATATGTATAATTATTGTTCAGCATGGATCGATGTCAAACTATTGCATTTAATAATTCTTTTTACTATACGCAACTCTTCCTCCGCCACGCCCTCTCTTGTTCATCCAGCAATGGCTTCAGTATCTCCCATTCCGCTTCTCTGGATAGGCCTAAGTCCCTAGTAGAAATATAAAACTTCCTTCTTTTTAATCTGAAGACCTCTAAGATAAATCCTTAGGGCAGCACGAGATCGGCTCCGTTCGTGATGCTAAGCGATGCTAAGGGGACGGGAAAAGTGAGCATAACCCTGCGGAAAACCAGGAATTCTCTCGCCTGTTTATCGCAAAAGCTGATCATTGCAGTTCAGGCGTTGTTCTTACCAGGAACCTCACAAATATCAAGTCATTTGCCATCTTGAGAAAATTGAAATGAAATATAAATATAAATATAAATAAAAAGAAAGAGATAAAAATAAACCAAAATTTTAAGACCGGAAAATAAAGAAAACGCATTTTAAAACTTGAAAATGAAGTCGGATGAAATCAAATGAAATAAGCGATTTCTGAAAAAAGGGTATTAGAGTATCAGTGAGAGACATGACAAGGAGGAATTCCTATTTTCCCGTAACTTTTTACTAAGGCCAATAGGAGAGATGCTTGCAGGTAATCACTTAAGGGTTATAGTCTTTTATGGATGCTGGACATTCGTATCAGCTCTTTCTAAAAGTTGTTGTTCTTCCAAGCTACCTCTTCTTGATGACGACGATCTTGGACTGATTTTTGAAGAGTTGCCAAAGCTGTTTGGAGGATTCGGCCTTGACAGTAAATTAATAGGGGAATTGCTTTGCTGCTGTCCCGAAGGCGAGGTATGATCTAGTTCATTATCTTCCAAGTAATCATATCCTCGCTCAAGCGTACTTGTTCGGATAAAGTTTCTAAATATAATCGTTGCTGCTATGAATACGCCAACCATTTCACCTATAGCGATACCCAGCGCATTCCGATTCAAAACAAATCCCAACAGAACACTTAACCCCACTCCAACTACAAGCGAGCCCAGAAAATCAGCCATCATGGGTAAAGAAGTTTTCCCATAACCCCTGAGAGAACCTGTAGAAATGTATTTCAATGACAATCCTATCATGCCTAGACCGACAATTGGGAACATGAATCTGCTGTATGCTTGTATTTCCTCATAATCATCGCTGTCTTTTTTTAAGAGAAATGAAGCAAGCAGCCTTGGCATCGTACAGAAAACCGGAAATGGAAAAAACGAAATAAATGCCCCTATTCCTGTAGCCAACAAACCAATACGTTTAGGATCCGAATAGAAGCCTTTGCCTAAAGCTTGCGAAATCAATACACAGCTTGTGGTGGAAAGCGAGCTTATCAACAGGGTAAATGCATGGGTGTATTGGGAAGTTATATGATAGGCGGTAAGTGCAGAACTTGATTTATGGCCTAACATAAGCGGATTTATAAATCTGGCAGCCAATTCAAAACAGAGTTGGATCCCTATTGGTAAACCTATCCTTATGATGTCTTTAAAGGTACGCCACATACTTATCAAGCCATCTGTTAGATTCGCACCATTGGAATTTAAATGAAATAAATCATATTCTTTGAAGCTTTTATCAAGTTTAGTGTAGGTTAGAATAATCCCCAAACTAATCCATTGATGAACGACCGTAGAAATTCTCCAACCCAGGGTATCTAGCTTGGCAGCATTTATAAGTAAATAGCTTACCGATAAGTCAGCTCCTGTTCTAACCATACTTACTGGCACCAATAAGCGTTCTCTTTTAGAGGCTATAAAAAATTGCAGCAGAGTTTGGATAGTCATTGAGGCTGGAAGTCGAAATATATCAAACAAAAAATAATCTCCCGCAATTTTCGCAAGTTTTGGATTTTGTCCAAATAAAACCAGAACAGGCTCGGTAAAAAGCAGGGCGACCATCAGCGGAAAACTTAAGATCATGCCAAAAACTATAGTTTCTTTCACGATGCTTCCCGTTTCTTTTGGATGTTCAACTTTGCTACCAAGAATAGGTTGCAACGCGTGTAAAATCATTTCAGCTGGAAAAATCAAGACGCTACTTACTGCACTAACATAAGCGCTTGCGGCAATCACGTCACTTCCCATACTTGATATAATGATAGCGCTACCAAATTGGTTGATTGCTACGACTACATTATTAACCATTAAAGGGAGAGAATGTAGGAGAATAGCTTTTATTAAAGGTTGATTGTCAATGCTTGCTGCCTGTAGTTCACTAATAGAGTTTCCCTCGTCTGTATCTACATCTTGATCATTTCTTTCTTGTTCTGGAATATCCGGTATGCGCATCAATAAATTCCTTTATTTTAGTTAATACTGAGAACGTTTATATAATAAGGTATTACAATTTGCAAGATAGCGATAATTAAGCTTTGTTACATGTAAAACAAAGAACTTAAAGGGATGATCTTAAAAAACAAGACAAAAAGTTGGTTTCAGGAACAGTTATTGTGAATCCGCTTCGATAAATCGAATTTACTAACCGAATTTACTAAACCAAATTTGTCAAATTTTCCAGTTAATTATCGAGATGACTAACCATAATAATTAATTCTATTCGAAATGTTTCGTAGACAATCTTTTATATATTTTAGACATCTGACAAAAAGGTTTTACGACAAAATTCAGTATAACCCGACATTACAAATTAAACCTCTAATAATCAGTCGAATCTCAACAAGACCTGAAAGGGGAATACATTTAACGTCAATAAATGCTGCAGCATTAGACTTTTTGAATATTAATGAAGACATTCCTGAAAATCAAGACGATCACTTTAAAAAACCAAACGAAGGTGATAAATGTCCAGGCTGTGGTGCAATTTTCCAAACGCAAGATGAAGCAAAGGCTGGATATCTAGTGACAAACATGTCTCGGTTGATAGAAGAAGATGATAAGATCACGAACAGTTCATTTGAAAACTATAAGCGAAAAAAAGCAGCAGAACAAGAAACATTTGATAAAGTTTTCGCCGCGATGGATGAAGAAAATAAAAGATTGCTCTATCCACTTGGAATTCCGGATGCTGCTGATCCAGAAAATCAGATAATCGGAAAAATAAAGCAACAGAGAAATCCACGCGTCTTTTGCAAAAGATGTTACAATTTGATGCACAAGAATCGTCTTCCATCTCCAAACTGGCAAGATGCGCTTGTAGGTTCTGACACATCTTTTCTGAAATTTTTGGCTAAGAAGCCGAATTCAATTGTGCTTACTGTTGTAGATATTTTTGATTTTCCTGGTAGTCTTTTAGCTCATTTAGAACAGTTAATTGGCACAAGAACTCGAAATATTATAGTTGCCAATAAGGTTGATATACTCCCTAAAGATATTCACTACGATCGTATTAAAAATTGGCTCGCTTTTGAATTGAACGGTTTGGGTTTTACTAATGTGATGGATATTCATTTAACTAGCGCAGTGAAAAATATTGGTGTCCGGGAATTGGTAAATGCCATTGCCGACATGCGTAGTGCGAGTGATGATGTTTATTTGGTTGGCTGTACTAATGTAGGAAAGTCCGAATTAATGAACAGCTTTTTAAGAACGAGTGCCGTGGGTGGATGGCAACATAAAGTTACTGCTTCTTTAGTACCGGGTACTACAATGGGAATGCTCGGCTTGCCACTATCAATTTTCAATGGCGCATTTGGTAAGACATTGGGAGTCAAAAATTACTTTCAAGTGTCGAAACATATTTACGATACTCCTGGAATAGTCAACGAGTCTCAATTATTGCATTTACTCACGCATGAGGAACTCAAACTAGTTATTCCTCGTACAAAGATAAAGCCTCTATCGTATCGAATTGAACCTGGTGAGCATTGATTTGAAATATTTGGCGTGTGCATAAAGTTAATGCTTTAATAATTCCGGAATGATTATTAGGAAAATCGATCTTTTTTGGTGGTCTGGGAAGGATAGATTACGTATATGGCAATGTACCGATTCTATTTACCATCTTTAGCAAAATCCCAGTACATATCACAAACATTGCACGAGCAAACGAATTCTGCGACAATATAGCCAATGGAATCCAACAATCTGTAATCGTGCCGCCAGTGGGCCCACCAGAACGGATTCTATCATTTCCACCGATGAAAACAGTCAGAAAACGGATATTAGTGGATGGTCGTCATGGAGGTATTAGTGTAAAAGATATCGTATTTTCCGGTGTTGGATGGGCTTCGATTTCGGGAACTTTTGAGAATGCTGAATTAAGTGTGCACTCTGCTGGTGGAAAAGGTGTTTTCCTTCGACATCATCCATTATTGCCGTATGAATATCGAGGACGAGTCGAGAAATTGCTGGTTAATAAAGTTCTTGTAAAAACAAATCGTAATAATAATTATGGACAGGTTCATAATGTTAGAGATGTAAGGGACTCTAGACGTTGGTGAATAATTTATTATTTCAAAATAATGCACAATTCAACTTTAAGATGAACTTGTAACCAAAAAGTAGTTATCTGAAAATAAATTAAGAAATACAAAAACAAATTAATATTCAAAGATAAAGTGTGGGTTTAACGCTGTATATGTATCCAAGCACACATATCATGCTAGCCACGAGCAAATATCTAAAAATTGGGGAAAATAATTACGATGCAAGAATAAATTAGTCATTGACTTGCGACAAAATATCGGAAAAAAGGCAAAAAATACAATGCAATAATTTAATTTCACACAAAATGAGCGCGCGTTAGAAAGAACAAGTTTGGCAGTCACTATTCGTCTTTCCGACGTTGTTCAATATCATCGAGTAACTGCCGCACTCGGTCCGCCATGGCATCCAAAACCGTGATCACATACGTGTACAAGTAAATCATCAATGACACTGCCCATTCTATGGTAAGCCACGTTTGTCTTTGCGCTTTGCCGAATAATGTCAGCTCGAGCTTTTTCCCACGGATATACGTCGCGTCCTTGATCTCAAAAGGAGGATTCGCGCCGAGAAATTCGGCGGCAATTTTCATGCCAGAAGTGAATCCATCCTCGTGGAACCCGTATTTTGTCCATGCGCCGGAAAATGTGGTTTGTAAGTGAGGCAGATTTTGAATGTTTGCAAGTGCTTGTTGAGAGGAAACTGCATTTGAAGTATAGACTGGATGGTCGTATTCCCATGAGCCGAATACTTTTGTTGGGTCAGGTTCGTATAATGGATTGAGACTGACGAGAACTGGTCCATATTTTGACTCGTCGATTGATTGAAGAATATTCATCGAGTAAGTTCTATGGATAATGAATATTTAGTAAATAAAATAAATGTATTATCTAAACTCTATCGGCTTACAGTGAAACTTGATTTGGATTTCGAGAAGAGTTTGTGGATTTAGTAATATAATTCCAAGAAGAGAATGTCAAACGACGTTGAGGCATTAACTAGAGATACAAATAAATTATTAATTGATATTTCATATTGTGTGATTCGTTATCATAATAACTCACCGATAAATCATTATGTAAATATGCACGATTCTTGTTAAACTGAAAACTTTTTAAAATATTCTTTTCGTCTGTGGTCGCCGAGTCCCCTAAAATTTCTAGGGCCTGATCAGCATGTGTCGCAAATATTACATGATCATATTTATCGTGGCCGCCCTGATTATCAGTTATAACAATTTCGGGGGCAGATAAAGATGAATCCGAGACACGTGTAATGGAGAGTACTCTAGTTGATACGCGTATGTCGTTCAATTTTGAGGCAATTGCTTCGACATATTTTCGACTTGTGAATCACATGTTTAAAAAATAATAAAGAATTGATGAAATTATACTATTATTACAGAAGTTTTTTGTATGTCGATATAAGTACCTTCCATCTTTCACAGTAAGCCATCGAATACGATCCAATATTTGAAGTAGAGAGTGATTATGCATAAATTGTATTAACGTTAATGCGGGAAACTTAGCCGAGCATTTGTCAAGAGGAGTCGACCAGATTGACGCAGTCATTGGCTAATAATAATAATCAAAGAATACTCAATTATCAATTGCTGTTTTAAAAAATCGGTTTGTTTAGTCTATCTAAATAACTGAAACACATTACCAAAAGATAATTATCTCGAAACGCATGAGAATACTTATGCAAATCCAGGTATTCACCTAGACTCATGCTCTTTTCCGGGTGGTCGTCCGGTAACTCCAACAACTCCGTCGCGTGAAAATTAAATCGAAATATATCATACAAAGTTTTCCACATATCCCAATTCAGCAAGTTCTGTGGCTGCGCAAATACGGACAATAAATTTCGCCCTGACCATTCGAATTCACCTTTGTTACGTGACACGGAAAAACTCATCTCTGAAGGAATGTACTTTATTTTCATGTGGTCAAAGAAACGAATCAAGTTTGGATAGGTGACCTGGTTAAATACAATGAAACCAGTGTCAACTGGAATTGTGAGCGGTTTGTCAGAGTCCTTGGTAGATGGGACTACATAGTCAACGGTGTGTGTATGTCCACCGAGGTAGTCGTTTGCTTCATATAAAGTGACAATGTGCGGAGAGTGCTCGGTGAGAAGCCAGGCAGCTCCCATGCCAGCGGCTCCAGAGCCGATGATTGCTACTCTCTTGGGTTTCTGTTCTGTTGCCATTTGCGTATAAACGAAAAGAAAAAGACGCGTGAAGATTGTTACGCAAATAGGCAAATTCCCCGATTTATGTATTTCCATGCTTTCCACGTGTAATTTCAAGGTTTTCGAGACTCCTCATTCAAGAACTTCATTATGAATTTGCGACATTTTGTACAAACGTCCAATTTTTTCTTGAGAAATGTCCGAAATTACTCGACTAGATCTGCAGTAGACCCAGTTATTAGTCCAAAAGAATCATCAAACAACGAAACGAATCAGACAGAGGCTCAAACTCATTTTGGCTTTAAATATATCCCGGAAAGTGCAAAGGAGACACTAGGTATATAACTTTGATATAGTATATGGGAGAAAGCTTTCTTGTTTCTTTGAACATTTAAAATTTTGGTAGTCGGTCAAGTATTTGCGAATGTTGCATCGAATTATGACTTGATGAATGATGCAATGAGTATCGGTGTCCATCGTCTATGGAAAGATCATTTTATACGTTCGTTGGCACCTGGTCCAGGCACTAAATTAATCGATGTAGCAGGCGGAACAGGTGATTTTTCTACTTATAAATATAGTAGCAAGTTTAATATTATTGTTGTTGATAATAAAGATCACATAAAAAATGATGGTAGATTCTAATGAATTAGAATAGGTGATATCGCACTTGGTTTTCTCAATTATTGCAAGGAGATTCATGGAGATCAGTCAGCGCACGTAACTGTTCTTGATATAAATCCTAATATGCTTGAAGTTGGAAAAAAACGATTTGCAAAGACTGTGTATGACAAAGGTACATAGATATCGTATTTTTAGCTATGTGATATTGAATATTGATATAGATTGATTCTTTTATAGCTTCTCAAGTCTCGTTTAAAGTTGGGAATGCTGAACAACTTGATTACCCTTCGAATTCCTTTGACGCGTACACGATCGCGTTTGGTATACGAAACTGCACCCACATTGATAAGGTATTGAAAGACGCATATCGAGTCTTGAAACCAGGCGGGAGATTTATGTGCCTTGAATTCGGAAAAGTAGAGAATCCTATTCTCTCTCCGTAAGTCATTCTGCTATTAATATCCAAAATATCAGATGATATAAGGATGCTAATCATTTCCATTCATTTTGGTTAGACTTTATAATTTATATTCGTTTCAAGTGATTCCGATGCTAGGACAAATAATAGCTGCCGATAGAGACTCGTATCAATATCTTGTGGAAAGTATTCGTCAGTTTCCTCCGCAACCAGAGTTTGCTAGAATGGTGCGTGATGCTGGGTTTACTTTGGTTGGTAAGGGTTGGGAAGATCTCACTTTTGGCGTAGCAGCAATTCACTCGGGATTCAAATTATAAAAGTTTGTTTACCCTATCAAATTATGTATCTTGCATAGATGGTAGAATTTTAGGTTTAAGGCACAAATTATCAATCATTTAATAATCAATAACAATCCAAATAAATTATAATGATTTGAATTTGAAAGTTAATTGTATTTTTTGACAGTAAAAAAAATGCTAGGACACACGGTATACATTTTCACTTCAGACATAATAGTAATTATACCGCAATCCACGCGGTGATCATCGTAAAATAATTATTTATTTTCAATTTGTATATAATATATTTTTATATATTATGATGATTATTGATTTTTTGATTTTTTTTAATAATTTACATGAATTGATTCGTGTGCATTTGGGCACCGCCAGGCAAGTGGAGATTTCCACGTATATGCTGCGGACCGGGTCGCATTTGAGATGGCATTATTTGATGATGGTTAGGTAACTGCATTGGTGTCTGTTGGATTTGAATCGGAGTTTGTTGGAACCCGTTTTGTGGGATATTTTGGACACCATTAAATCGTTGTTGTGGAGGCTTGTTATTAGTGATTTGTGGCGGACCACGTATCATTTGTGGCACAACCCCTCGTACCATCGGTGATGCGGCTGATTGTAGGCCAGAGTTATTCACGAGACTATTGTTCGCGCTTGCTGCTGCAATATGCGCATTGTTTATGCCTTGTGATTGACTCATGGCTACAGATTGAGTCACATTCACAGGTACTCCACCACGTATCATCATCGGTTGCATGTTTCGTGACATGTTGTCATTGACTGTCAATGACGACATGGGAATGTTATTTCTTACATTAGAAGTTGGGTTCATGCCAACCATTCCTCCAACACTGGGATTTTGTGGAGCGCCACGTAATGTGTGAAGATGTATAGTAGGTGGAAGCCGTGCTAATTGAGCTTGAGCCCGTGCGTGAAGTTGCCGCTGAATTGAAACTGGTCCTTGTCTCTGAGGATATCCATTATTTGATATTGTGACGCCGTTATTTACACTAGCGACTCCATTTACCACACTTCGAACGCTATTAACTTCATTACCACCCCCAACACCATTACCATTAACTCCGTTCATTCGATGTGAAGTTTGATTTGGTAATGGAGTTGTTGATGATGATGATAACGACGACGAAGATGAAGATGAGGATGTCGACGCTATAGCTGTTTGATTGTTCTTTTGCTGTAATTGCTGCTGCTGCTGCTGTTGCTGCTGCTGTAGTTGATGATGTTGCTGCTGCTGCTGTTGATGATGCAAAGCAGCATTCATAGCAATTGGATGTGTTATTGGCCATGATTGCTGACGACTGTATAAATCTGAGACATCCTTTTCATTGAGTAGCGTATATTTGATAGCGCTATAAAACAATAAGATTTTTTTAATCAAGTAATTTTGCAAAGTATGCTGCATTTTTATGGAACAAAAGTTACAAGTCAAGTTCGAATTCTTTACCTTTCTTTATAATCATTGTCATCAATTTGCATCATATCTGAATAATTTGTATCCTCATCGCTGAAAATTTCTGATTCATCAAAGTCATCGTATTTGAACTTGTATCGGGATTTACCGGTTTTACTATTATCTTTACTACTATGATTGTTATGATGTGACCCGAACCCACGACGATCCGTTAATATACGACCTCCACGACCAATTCGAGTTCGAAATGCTATGCGCCGTGGTAATTCACTAGGAATGAACTCTTCGTCTGAAGAGACAGACTCTTCGTCAGATGGATAGAAAACTGAGTAATATTCAATTGGTTGTTGCTTTTTATATGGTTCGAATATATCCTATTGTGAAATATAATATATTCATGTGAATGATTGGCACTTGGAAGTTAGTGTGTAAATTGAGTATTAAAAGTTCTTGCTTACATCTGTAGCATCGACCCAATAAGATCGTGTTTCTTGAATTTGAGATTGAGCAGCAGATTGCTGTTGGGTTTTGCGCCTGATTTTTTTAGAAAATTCCAAAGCTTAATGATAGGTCATTTATGCTCTTAAGAGCAGAATGCAAAGTTTATCCCAATTACTATGCAAAAAGATTTGAATAGCATACACTTTCTCGCTGCTGGAAGCTTGTGATAACTTTCGTTGCTTCTTCTATATTCGCAAAAAGAACAAATAAATATCGTTAACTGGGTGAATAGATCAAGTATACAATAGGAATATATAAAATGCGAATAAAGAAGTCGAAGTGAAAGGAAGGAAAAAATATATACTTTTGGTGGTTTTCCGGCTATTTGATCATCGACTCCTAAATCTCGACCCATCTCTTTAACTGTTGCTTTTGTCGCGAATTTATCCCGTTCGTTAGTTATAAAGGCAAATTTTCGTTTCTCAAATTTCTGACAATTTTGGAGTACATTCGTTGCTTTGCATAGATTGAGATGTAATTGATCGCATTTTTCAAGTGATTTTGCATCCGTTCGTCTTGTTTTTCGTATTGGTTTCAGTTCTCTACGTCGGAAACACACATATGGATTATCTTCTTCTTGACTGTTTGCTGGTTCAGTCTAATAATAAATAGTACGAGTAAAAAGAAAAGACTCAATACGTTTTCATTATAACATCAAAATTAATTAATTGTTGAGAACTGTGCATACCATTACAATTGGCGCCATTGCACCGCCATTTCGTTTGACTCTACATTCTTTCCAGTATGGGTACACAAATCTGACTTTACGACGAAGCGAAGCAATGGAATCTGTAAAGGTTCTTTCCATATCTTGAAGATTAGGAAGTATCCTGATATCCTTCTGCATAGTATTAATTACAAAAAGGAGGACGCAAACTAATTCAGAGAAAAGATATGACGTTAACCCAAAAAAGCGAAATCCAAAAGGAAAACACACCTTGCATCGAAGTCTTCGATTCGCTATTAACTCTAACTGGTAAAGGATCCACTCAAGTTCGTCTTCTTCCAATTTATCCTTCTCCGCTATTTTATTATTGTAACTTTCAATCCAATCGAGATCGTCATCTGTCAGGGTATACGGACATCCTGTCGAACTTTCAATGTCTTCAGAAAATTTCACAAATGCTTTGGGATCTTCCCAATTCTTCTCTTTGTACAAGTCTTCGTATTCTGCTAAATCTGTTATGGCTTCCGGAACGGGTATAGATTTTTCAACTTTTTTGCCGGTTTTAAAAGCTTCTTCTTTTGCGGTTAATGCTTCTTGCAAATGAACTTCCTAAATTGTTTGCGAGAAAGGGAGAGGAATAAGTTATTGAATTGCACATATTATAATGACCATTTATCGTTATTTATCGGGTATAAACTTCAGGACAATGAAACCAAGTGTGTAACATAAATCCAATTTATGAATAAAAAATGTGTATATTATATAAGCACTCGAAAACTAGAGAGCGAGAATGAGCGAGCGTATTGGATGATGATCAAAAATGGCATGTTGAAGATCATGTGCTACGCCCCTCTTAATTCCGCAGTCACAAGAAAAGAGGGAAAAGAACAAAAGAACTATTCAAAATTTCAACATTTTCTTGCATCAACATAAACTACGAGTTCTTCTGTTACCAGATGACTCGTCTAATTATTATATAGACTAGCTGCATTACGAAATAAGAAAGGAATAGCGAACCTCCTCTTCTTCTTTTTCCACACCTGTCTCAATAGGCGGTGCACTCCTTATCTGAGTAGAGTAGTCATCAATGTCATCTAGCTCACGCTCCCAGTATAACTTTAGCGGTTTCTTATTGTCAATCTTGCGGGAGCGAAACGACTTCCTGTTGGGAAACGTTGGTTGTTGTTGCATGTTGTATATGAGTGATAGCAGCCAATGTGTGGCGCAGTTTTTTATTTTGAAAAAAAAAGGTAATGTGTGGTGACAACGTTGTTGTCAAAGTACAAGACAGGGATAAGAGTGTTTTCTTTTTTTTAGAAAGCGACTAGAGTTTTTTTTACTTATGCTTATAGGACTATAAGAGAAGAAAAGGCAGAATAAGACTTTGGCTTTTCTTCGCTTCCCGTTATGAGTAAATTACTCTCGTATTTTTACCTAAGGGAATCAGTATTCTCTGTCGTTGGTTGACAATAGGGTATTGTCTGCGTACCCCAAAAGCAACACTTATTATTTGATGAGTGTCACGAGTGCCACTAAATATATGTACTACGCAACACTTTTGTCATGTTATCACGTGAATATCACGCCAACCAATTAACTTACCGTAATTGGGAGACATAACCTGTAAGAATATAACAATCATACATGAATTTCTTTTTAGAACAATTGCTTGTCTGGATCTAAAAAAGTTCAAACCGTCTTCTCATGATCCAAACTTTTGAAACAGTAATAATTTTGATCGGCGACAAACTAGAAATTGTCGCAATCTTTTTGCCAGTCCTACTATAATTATTATCATCATCATCATTATTGGCAAGTGAAGCATCATCAGTTGCGGCATTCCCTTTAAAAAAAATTACGCAATTTTTCATCAATTCAGCGAAATTCCTAATTTTTGCATGTGAATAACCATCAACCACTTCTAAAATTTCGAAGTCTTTTTCGTGTGCTTGTGGATTGGAGGTAAGAAGATGTGAATAGATGATGTACTCAGACGGATTCGAATGCGACTCATTTTTCGAATAAGTCCAATCATCGCGTAATTGGCCAAATCTCGATGCACCAGTCATTGCCGTGTATATATCAAGATGAAGTTTAACTACAAACATACACACACGAGCACAACAACCGATAATAAATCGAGGATAAAAAGGAAAAGATAGTAAAGTCGATAATTATCGTCATTTCACTCACCTTGCGTTACATTTCGTTCTATGGTATGAATTCGATGCAGTGCATATCCTCCGGGATAATTACAACTGGACGCGTAGACCATGAATATGCATGCGAAACAACTCCCAGCTAGACAAGCATAGACTATGATCCGTAAAACATTATAAGACACTTTAGCAACCCTTTGCTCTCTATAATAATGAAAAAGATAAAATTCTTCGGTGAGTATGGCATGCTAAAATAAGCAAATTGTTTGTGAAGTAATGGAATTGACAAAAGATGAAGATGCTGTATGGTCCTTAGAATAATGGCTTTGCTATCCGATATTTTTTATAAACTAACTATGACAAGAATATTAGATACATAGAATGAATTTTTACATGATTATATCAGTAAAGCATGGTTTCTTCCATAAGGTAGAAAGTTCGGGTTTTCGTGATATGAAATGGTAAAATTATATATACTTACATCCAAATCCAGCCGACAGCCGCACACAAATTAAAGATAGGCACAACGTACACGATAAATCGCCACTCTTTATGACCCAAAAATGAGAAGCTAAGGATATATAAGAAGATCGGTGATAGCAACATGCGTGCTCGTCTATCGACAAAAGTTGCATACATGCTTAATGGTAAGGATGTAAGAAGCAATCGAGGTAGAAAGGATGTGAAATAAGTGTGAAATGGCGAGACCTAAATTATTTTAATTTAAAAAAAGGCGACAGATTAGATAATAGATGAATTAAAATGCAGATGTTAGATTAGAATATTTACTTACCCCCCATTCTACACTTTTTCCAAGTATTGCGTTGAAATAGAAGACGTAACCTTCCGGCCACATCCAATTTTTTTGCCAGAAATAAGAATCAATTGCCAACGAAATCCCTATAACAGCAATTTTAAAAAAAAAGAATTAAGAAATCAACATAAAATCACTGATGTCACTAACAAAAGCAAAAAAGATGCTCACCCAAGCTGAAAACACCGGTGAGCGCAGCGACTTTAAGAACACCATAAAAATTTACATTCTTTCGTACTAACTCCAACAAAACAATTGGACCAGCCAACAAAAAAATTTCGAAACGGAAAACCACCATGGTAAATGTAAAGTATCGTAACATCGAGAGAATATGCAAAGAAGGATTTGACGATGTCAAGGAGAGAATCCAATGCGAGAATGCAAGGTTTGCTACAATTAAAAAATTTAAGATGACGATGCAGGCATTTATATAACAATAAAGATTAGTGAGATTCGAAAAAATCCTAGAGTTGTAATAGACAAAGACAATGATCTGAATGATGGATTAATTACGGGAAGTGAAGAGGAAACTCAGTTATTACTTAACGGAAAAGCAAACATATTTGGTAAAGTTCTGCTTGCCCAAAATGTCGTATGAAATTGTAAAGCCGAAAGAAGAACGAAAGCTATTGATACTGATAACCCAAAAGAAGTTCTTATAGACAGTCGTAGACGAGAAAGTGTATAAACAGAAAAAAGTCCAAGAATAACTCGAACTGATATTATATAAAATACGTAATAACGCGTAAATGAATAGGGTTATTAATAATCTACCAGATTTTTCTCTATTTTTATTTAATATCTTACCGATATACTGAAAAACCCGTTTATCCACATTGGGGCTTAATATTCTAATGGCTTTGACAAAAGGCCAGCTTGCCCCACCCAAAACTAACGGTCCAACAAAAGTTCTTGGAACAACTCCAGGGAACTCAAAGTGGTCATACTATTTTATTATCAACACAAAAAAAAATAAAACAAAAGCATATGGAATTTGAACAACACTTTTTACTCTTTGCTCGTTTTACCTTTTTCAATGCTTCCAAAATTACACCATGCTCCAAGACATCGTGAGTCGCTTGCAAGTTGAAACTTTCTTCAACTTTCGTAAAAGGACAATAAATAACATAAAAAGTGACGAGAGCAGCTAAAACCACATCATATCTATCCATTTTTTACAATGCAACAGTCGAAAATTCTTTAGACAGGAAAATCGAAATTAGCTGGCGGACAGACGAAAAAAGAAGAACGATAAGCAAAAGGGATAATAAACGATATTTAATAATTGAAAGAAAAAATGGCAGTAGCGTAGTTTGCAGGGTAGTTGATTTAAAAAAAAATCAACCAATTTGGTGGGTATGGATGCAATGCAATATTCCTAATTGTAGCATACTACATGTATATAGCGTATCGGTATATATTTGGGTGGCTTGGAATATAGAGATATGTTTGTTCGGCTGATCTTCACGCATATCTCTTTGCCATTATATTGTGATTGGTTATGTACATATTATTGTCTTGCCTCATTGTAAGATACACCGTTAAAACTGTTGATCATCAATAAATTTAATAAAACCAACCATCAAGAATTAAATTTCGAGATCTACATTTAAGAACATATATATAGCCAAACCCATTGATAGAATCGTGCAGTTATTGAATCGCTCAATAATCGTCTTAGCATACGTAAAATAACGATAACAATAGTCAAAGAATTAATTCAAGTGCTAAAGTAGAATAAATCATATTGTACAATTAATAAATCTAAAAATAAGGGAAAATTAAAAAGTAAAGGAAAAGAGTCCTTTGTTGGTTGTTACACGATAGCATGGGTGTATGTACAAATAATCGTTGTACATGTACTATGGTACTATGAAAACAACAATTATCACAATAATAATAACGATAACGATAATACATATATACGCCATTTATGGGACTGCACGAACGCACATTTTGAACTTCTTGTAAATCTAATCGAGACGCTAATTAGGATTGTAATAGATTCAATTTCGGTTGATATGCGATTATAGAAGGATTAACAACCATTATTTATGCAGCTTTGTTTTTTAATAATGCGAAATCCATTTTAAGAGAATAAGTTATTATTCCACTGGCTTTGAAAGATAGCGATAGTGAATACGAGAAAGTGAGCTTATAATAAAGTTTTTTTTTTGCTACGACATAATGTATTACGTGTCAACCCAAGGAAATTTATAAGTATATGAAGGTATTGTTATGTATTTGTGAAGATATATATACGATAACCTAAAAAAATCAAATATATACGTATATATATATATAGAAAAGGTTTCGAAATGATAATTCGTGTTGACTTGCTAGATTCAGAATTTTAAATCAATCTTTCAAGAGATGAAATGTCTATTTATATACATAACTCACACATACGCTGCACTACATTAATGCCTTATCGTTATCTCGACAATCATCATAAAAAACCATATCAATATCGATATTTACGAACATATCGGTATTTATTCATTTTTCAATGACGATCATACAGAATAAAGTCGACTCTGACGAAATGTCAGGTCAAGTTGCCAAAGCACCCAACCTTGGAAATAAACAAAAAAATTACCAGTTTAGAAATTGGTCGAGTACGTTTAAGTGTGTACCTGAATTGTATTTTAGACCAAAATCGGAGGATGAGCTCGTTAATGTAATAATTTCTTTCCGAAATCCTGAAAATATTTTCATTATTAAAATATCGATAATTAATAGATTGTAAATCTCGCGCGAGAAAACCATAAAACTATAAAAGTCGTTGGTAGTGGGCATTCGCCCTCAGATTTAGCTTGTACAAATGAGTATATGATCAACTTGGATGACCTAAATCATGTATTAGAAGTAGGTAAACAACATAAAAAATTACATCACTTAAAATTCGGAACTAATTATATTGATTTTGCGTCGGAAAAAGTTTGATCCAAAATCACGAATAATAACCGTTGAAGCAGGAATCCGATTATTTCAACTAAATCAAGAGCTCAAGTGGCGTGGAATCGCGTTAAGCAATCTTGGCGCGATTTCGGATCAAAGTATTGCGGGAGCTATTAGCTCTGCTACTCATGGCACTGGAATAAATTTTGGGAATCTATCAACGCAGGTAAAAATAGATATTGTTTACTTTTTTACGCTTTTTAGCAATAAAACAAAGACGAAATGATTATTTTAGGTTATTGGTTTGACTATGATAACTGCTTCCGGCAAAAAAATACATTGTTCCGAAGTAAAGGATGCCGAAATATTTAAAGCAGCACTTTGTAGCGTCGGGGCCCTAGGCATTATTACTCGTGTTACAATACAATGTGAGCCGGAATTTCGTCTCGAGGCCGAACAGCAACCAATGAAACTTGATACAATATTAAATGATTTGAAGGAAATTGTGTGTTCGGCGGAACATGTCAGATTCTGGTGGTCCCCACATACGGATGATTGTGTTCTGTGGAAGGCGAACAGAATAATAAAGGCAAATAAATCACTTTTAAGACAGTTTGGCCATTTTTCATTATGCATTTAAATCAAATACTGTTAAAACAGGCGAAACAAGCAGAAACAATCGGATATTTTCGCGAAACAATTCTTGGATACCATCTCTACCAATTTCTTCTCTACTTAACACGATTCTATCCACCTACAATCCCACGACTTGCACACTTGATGTTCTTGATAAAATTCAACAAAGGCACACTAATGGTTGACGACTCCTATAAAGTTTTCAATTCCGATTGTTTGTTTGAGCAATACGTCAACGAATGGGCGATCCCGTGGGAGCGAACTGCTGAAGCGTTAAGAAAACTTGGCCAATGGGTTAGGGAAAATGATGAGAAAGGAATTTATGTTCATTTCCCGGTTGAAGTAAGATTTGTGGATAAAGATGATATTTGGCTGAGTCCATCTTATGGGAGGAAAGTTTGTTATATTGGAGTTATTATGTATAGGTGTGTATCTGATATTTGAATACGTAGATTAGCAGTACTTGAGAATTAATAATTTTTTATTATTTATAGACCTTATAATAAACCAGTACCATACAAGAAATACTGGATCGCTTATGAACAAATCATGCGTGAATGTGATGGTCGACCTCACTGGGCAAAGGCAACTACCTAACTTACATTTCTATCAAAAAAAATATTAGTGTTTCGGGCGAAACCAGTTTCGCTCTCGAAATTAGGGTTTCGGATAGTTTCGGACTTATAGGGTGAAACTGAAAGTTCACTGGGCGAAACGTGTCAAATTTTGAACAATAGTTTCGCCCGAAGCACTAACGTATTTTCAAAAAAAAACTAATTAAAGATTAATAACTTCTCAAATTGATAAAATTCAGGCGCACACAATGTTCAAAGATGAACTAACAAAGGCATATCCGAAATTCAAAGATTTTCTTGAACTTCGCGAGGAATTAGATCCCGAGGGTATCTTTTTAAACCCATATTTGAGACGACATCTGCTTGGAGAGTATGGTCCAAAAGTTGATGCTGCCCAGTTTAAAGCAAGATTGTGAAATAGCTATTTTGAAGAATATATGTATTTATTATGCGATAACGATAACACACTAATAAATATCTGAAGTATTTAATCTTTATGGACGATCACAAGTTCCAGTTCGTGCACACCATAACGGCTGCAGCGGTTCTGCACGAATACCTCTCCCAACCAATCTAAACCTAAACTCAGTCAACCTCGGCAATGCTTCCCTGACATTTCGCGTCATACCAGTACTATCATAGTTCCCAGACCAGAGAATTTCGGCGGTAACTGCAGTGCGTGGCCATAATGTTGTTTCAAAATTTGTAGCATCTGCTTGTTCACTCCAGAGTAATACCTCTCCTGTTGGAATTAAATAATTTTTAAGAATTTATCATGACTTAGAAAAACTATCGATGGCGAAGTTAGAATTTTTACCTCCGATAACTAATTCTGCTTCCTTGTCACTGAGCCCATTCCGAGGATTATAAGAATACATCCATTGCCAAGTTTTGAAATGGCCACACCTGTTGAAATATATTTTATTAGCAAAAAAATCAAATTTGATTCAATAATAAATGAAAATAAACTCACCAACTATTTCCTTCGACATAATTACCCAACCAATTTCCATGACCACAATCAAGATACCAAAACCCAGCCGGCCCCGAAACAACCTTATACCCAGCACGAACAACACGCTTTACATTATCATCCCCATTCCAAACTTGAACAATTGTATCTTTGCCGAGATTCAAGCGCTGATTAACAATTAGCTCTTGCCATGCCATTGGAATTTTTCCTTGATTTCTAATAATTTCGTGTTGTTTAGTGACAAATTTGTGAACAAGAGGTTCCATCGTTTCGCTTATTATCTCGGAATCATCATCATCGATATTGGTCTTATTGGTGGTATTCGGAGTAAGTGATATATATTCTTGGACTTTATGCGCGTCGTACCAGCATCGTAGATTTACTTCATCACCACCTCCGTGAAAGTATTTGTCCGGAAACCAGGACGCCATTTCGGTGATTAGTTTATCAATGAATGCATAGGTTGCGTTGGCGGTTGGGTCGAATTGACCGCTTGGTGGCTCGTAAGCATACTTTTTATGTATTTTAATATGAATTAGTTCTTATATGAAAATGACAACAATAATCATAATTCGTTAAATACTTGCATTGTTCCAATTGGGCTGGACATTATCACACAATATGCTATCGTATAGTAATATAAATAGCGCTTATTTAGTTATGAGAATATGTTAAAGAAAACTTAGATTTACATTTCAGGATGACTTAAAGCGATTGCAGCAGTATGACCAGGCATATCGAATTCAGGAATTATTCGAATTCCTCTCTACAAAATCAGCATCAAAGTATTTCTACCGTCATTCATTCATTAAATTAAACAGCGACGAATATTCTTCTATAATATAAAAAATACAAAATTCTCACCTGTTTTGCATAATGAACAATAGTTTCGATATCCCGCTTAGTATAAATCATGTTCTTTGGATCATATGAACCTTTCTCACTCAACTCTGGGAAAACTTCACTGGCTACCGGCCAACTGTGTTGATCCACTATATGCCAATGAAATACATTTAACTTGGTCCAACTCATTGCATCCAACGTGCGCAAAATATCCTCAACCGGATAATAATTCCTCGAGGTATCCAACATTAGACCGCGATGTCGGTATTTCGGGGAATCAAAGATGCGATGCGGCGCGAATGGCATAATCAACATTTCATCATTTCCACTATCTGCATAAATCAATTGCGAGAATGTAGTCAGTCCATGCAATACACCATACACAGATTTCGCTCGTAAGTGTGCTTTCAAAGTCATCAATAATGGCGAGGCATTGGGAATCCATATGTCATACGACTCGTCAGTATCTAAAGACAACTCAACATTTTCCGTATGCAATTCGATATTCAGTGATTCTAGTATCTTGAAAGTTAAATCGATTGGCGGAAGATTATTTTTATTTGGCGGTGAAAATTTCTCGTTTGTCAGAAAATCTTGAAGGCGTTGAGTTGCCGCGTGGATCGTCTGTTGGATGAATGGGTCCGAAAAACGATTGTTGAAGTTGATTTTTATACTAGGATGAATTTTTAAGGTTGATATTCCTTTCGACCATTTTTTTGGAATAGGCCATAAAGCATCGACTTTGATAATAAAAATATTAATAAATATTAGCGAGAATAAGGAAATTGTATGTGAAAATTTCATTGTTTTTTTTTTAATTTAGGAATCGTTAAAACAAGTTCGTAAATGATATCGATATCGATATCGATATCTATTGATCAGAATTACACTTGTCCTTTTTTAGGAGATAAAAACATGTACAAAACGCAGTATACGTGTCAGTATGATGATGCATTAGAAACGTAATCATCTTTAAAAATCCTCGCTCATTAAGTTTCAAAAATTAGAAAATTAAAACCATGGAACCAGGAGAAGAAAAAGACGCACAAATTCTAAACATTAGAAAAAGTAAATTGTTCCTACAAGCAATTCAAGACACTGAGACAAACTTCGCTCTCCCAGACGACGACACCGGACTAACCTATTTACTGGGGGACAAAAAATACACATACGATGACAATACGCCCGATCGAGCTCCATACTTTCCACGAAACATACGCCAACGTGAGAAACGTAATGTATATAATTGGGATGTCCAAAAAACTGGATTGTATATCGATCGTATACTTCTGTTTCTTGAGGAATTTTATTATTTGGTGGGAGATGAACAAGGAAAAGAAGGGGGAGGTCGTAGTCTTCAACAAATAATTGATCGAGATATACAGAAAAGATGTGAACTTGAGAGTAAAATTGAAAGTGATAATGATGAAGCTTTATCGTTATTGTTGGATGACACCGAGAAATATTTGCATGGATTTCGATATTTATATGATCTTGAAAGAAAGAAATCAAAACAACCCGATTTAGTTTTCACAAATGGATACGGGATATTTGTAATTGTTGAAAGGCAGAAAAGAACACCGAAAAAGGGTATCACGATTAACAAAAAATGGCAAAAGAAGAAAAAAGATTTCTGTGAACATAATCGCGATAATAATATTGTCGCAGTACTTGGAGCAGCTTTTATTGCTACGACCACTGCTTCCGTTATTGATGGTGAGTCGTCTGGTGAAGATGGAGATGTTGGTGACGGTGATAATGGAACAAGGATTTTATTTCTGTTAACGGACGAGAGAATCGCCACGGGCGTTGCTAAAATTTCTAATGGCCGTGGGGAGAGGCTAAATGAAGGTAAATTTATTTGTTATTTTCACTTTTAAATGTGTTAAAAATAGGTAACAATATGTCTAATAATTTTAATAGCACTTGAAGATAATTCTCATGATAAAATCCTTGAGAGTGAACCTTTCAATTTTTCAACATCAGCCTCATCAACAGATGTCGATGTAGGAAACAGTCGCGAACCTGAAGAGCAGACCTCTATAGAAAATCACACAAAAACAAGTTCAATTATACGAGACTTCATTGAGCTGTTGGCATGGGTATTGTTGTATAACGTGTTGTCTAGAGAATGGTTTCTTGTTATCCTGGGTATTGGATATATTTTTAATTTGTGATTTTTTTTTGTTTGAGGTAGAAATCAATTTACTTGACTAGTGAAAACATATCTTTATTTTCATTATTGTTTTAAACATTGTTTTTCAATCTTATAGAGTAAAACATGGATTCATATATATTTTAATTCTAATTACAAAATTCAAGGTCTATTAATTTCGAAATTGGGCATTGAGTATATTTTAATACTTTCTATTCAAATTAACGAGCAGGAATGGGCATAGCGATAGGTAGCCTTAAGTTTCACAAGTATAGCTAAACAAAAGAATCATAATGAACATTCAAAGGCAAAGTTCCTTTATTAGTTCCTTTATCGTTATTAGTTAATTAGATGATATCACGTAGATAATTTGGATGCAATTCTTTTTGTGAACACGAAAGCTTAATCAAAATAGTTTGATTCTTGCTATCTTCGTAAAATGAACCTCGTAATAATTAATTTAAGTTCGAAAAATGCAGGGCAACTACTATAAATCATTCGCGTTTTCCGAACTCCCAAAATCCCGCTGCCAAATTATTGAAATATACTACTTTATTAAGATAATTAATATTAAAAGTATAATATATTATCTGTGATTTGTCATGCTTGCAAAAAAGTACTTAACATTAATGTTAAAAGAATATTTTTATTATCATGCTCATCAAACAATCATTACATATCGATATATGCTTAAGGTTGACGTTAATATAATTTTCATAAGGTGTATGATCACGGGATTTACATACATGTATTAACGTTAACGCCTCTGGGTTAAATTAATTGTATCTTTACTTCATATATCTTCATTATTGTTCTTTTATAGTATTATAATAACAATTGATTTTCTTTTTTTACACAGCAGTTTTGGACAAAATTTACAATTGATAGTTAAGAAATTGTCTTTTGATTATATTTTTTAAATTTCAAAAAATAATTGTATGACCTATAAATACATGGAAATTGAACATTTAACTTATATACGTAATAACTGACCTATTTCTTAAAGATTTGAACGAACGAATCAACTGTTAATAACATAAAATTGATGCAAAAAAAATAAATTTTAAAAATAAAAATTAATACTGGTGCTCGAAATTAAATGTCTCGATCATCTCCCCTGCCCTGCTATCATGGCCATTTTCTCGAGCTCTTTTGGTACCCTTTTAAAGACATGTCAGAAGCTTGCCAACTTAAACTGACCATGCTTGTCTCCTAATTCAGCAGATCTCAAACACATTTCAAAAGTTTTGTATTCGTTCTCTACTGTTCCAGTTCCGTAAAAGTAACATGTCGCAAGATGATTGTACATTTTGCCAGATCCTGCTAATCTTTGGAAATACATGACGGATTTAGTACATTTTTTAAATCTCGTATCTAAAATCATAAATAATATTATAATATGCGGACTCAAAATTGTATTCTCTACTCTCAGCTAATTTCGAATACCAATCGAATGCTTTTTCTTCATTTTTTGTATTCCTGTTCCATTTTTATAGCAAAAACTGAGATTAAATTTTTCTTCCGCAAGTTCATTTTCTGCTGATTTCAAATATCACAAATGCTTTTTCTGTGTTCCGACTCATAACAAATGCCGAGCTTAACTTGTCTTTCTGCAAGTCCATTTTCTGCTGATCTCAAATACCACTCAAATGCTTTTTCTTCGTCTTTTTGCGTCCCATAGCAAAGTCCGAGTAAATATTGCGCTAATGTGATAGTTTGCCTTGGTAAATTTTCACAATTTTCAAAAGCAAATTGAAAAAATCCAAAAAGCAACACGAATTGTTGTCAAACATTGCTTTTAAATTTTAGCTACATCGATATCGATGTTCTCCAGAACAGAGCAAGTTTAATTCTTCTAGACACGGTTCAATATTATTATTAGTAGTATCTTTGTTGTGATAGATATTCGATTCATTTGTGTGTTTATAGCGAATATTGGATTTTCAGAGTCAAACTTCTTAACGTTAATACATGTAGTTTTCAACGAAACTCTTTATTAGTTTTGATAATTGAAAGTTTTTTCGAAAGAAGAGAAACACACTTTGTTTTCGTTTCTAATTAGAGAATGACATCCGACAAAAAACGCGTTTTTACCTTTACTAAGAATCATATAGATTGTACGGAGTTACTAGTGTTTCGGGCGAAACCATCCAAAACATTCGCCCAGTGAACTTTAGGTTCTCTCTATAAGTCCAAAATTATTCGAAACCCTAATTTGGCGAATCAAATTAGTACATGTATCGTCTGAAACACTAATGGTGTTGGTATCAGGTAATTGACAAAAACCTGCAAAGAATTAAAAACCAATATTGTGGAGTTTAATTTTAATGCATACACCAGAATTTCTACAAAAAAATTCAGAATACTATATATGCTGGCATATATCGGTGTTTTCAAATGAGCGAAACGATAGAATGTTCAATTAATTGAGCGTTAGATGTTTTGTAACCTTGCTGTCTCCCAGCTTTATGAATTCGTTGGTGATATTCTAAACATTTCCAGCAGTACTTTTTTTTTGACAAGCTGTACTTATCTACTTGACAATCGTAACATTTACTACACTTATGAATATTGTGAACTGAGCATTCTCTGTAGTAGTAAATATTTCGACAAGACCAGCATCTACTAGAATAATGAGTACATATTATATTCTATCTTTGAGTTTATTTATTAGCGTTAGTGATTATGGCAGTGTTTATTAAAAAAACGATGTGTGGAAGTCGTTATTCACTTCCGTGTTTGTATGAAAAATGACACATGCAACAAATAAATGAGCCTTTTACGACCTCTATTGTTGTATGTAAATAATAAAGGCTCTTTTTGATACAGAAAATGCATGTTGTAGGCGTAATGATTTTTCATGTGAAATTCTTATGCACGTTAACATAAATTGAAGTTCTATGTGATAAGAATGGTAATTTGTTTCGTCTAACTTTACGGACAGAGTTCTAGTCGTTTTGAGATTATATAATCTCAAAACAGTTAAACCTCCATATAGTCACCTCCCATATAATGATCAAATCAAAATATACAGTGGTCAAATTTGTTCAGTTCCAAACTTATTATAAAACATAAGAAATTTGACCTCCATTTACGTAGTCACAACCTCTTTACAATCACAGCTTTTCATATCCAAAGGGTGTGATTATAGGAAGGTCAGACTGTATTACCATTATACATGTATATTGTAAATATCATAAATGCATAATTTATCAGTTTTATCCAACTTAGTACTACAGTTTGTGATTATAAATTTATTTAGCAGAGACAAGATAGATTGAATATGCCTAATAGAAAATATTCAAGACAGTCTGCCCTGAGGTTCTCTTGCAGGTAAGTTATCTTGTTGCAATACTAAATTTCTCATTAGTCTTAAAACATAAGTTACATTATCAGTTTCACTTTTTTAGATTCTTGTTTTAGAGTGGAATTTCTCAAAAGTATTTCCTCAACTTATCCTAAGTTTGCGTTTTCAATGCAAGTCATAATAAATGTCTTCAATGAGTACCAATACTTTTTTAAAAATTGGAATTCTATGAAATTAATAAAATAAAACTACATTACTACCAAAACCATTAATACATGAGAAAGAATTGTCGGAATTTTATTACATATTTGATTCTCTCTTCATAAATTTCTTATTAAATCCATTTTTCGTGATTACTATTTACGTACGTACTTTGTTAATTGTCTTACCGTCCGTTACCATTTATAAAATAATAAACCTGATATAAAAGATTAAAATTTGTGCCCCAAGAGCAGAAGTATTGTGTTAACGTCTCGTTTGGGTAAATAATACAAAGTTCTATTCATTATCAAAATAAACTTATAGAATTAGTATTTGAACCAATATGAAGGGAGTGTAGTAAGAGGCATATTATCTGCAATTCATAATATCATTGAGCTAAGGAAATTGACGAATTTCAGGTTAATTTTTTATTTGAAATAAAATTTTACATAATTTAGCATTTGCTGCAAGCGTTGCATTTGATTATGAATAATACAACTATTTTAATTTATTTGCATAAAATGAAACATTTTTTTCGATTAATGCGCGTGTTCAACTAAAAGTAAAATTATTTTAATCAAGTGTGATAGCAATTACCGATTCTTTATCAAGGAAAAATTCATCACTAACCTAATTTGCAAACCAGTGACGTATCGCCTTCCCAACTTCTCGATAGAGATCCAGAGATTCCAGAACAACCACGGCTAGCAACGCCAACAAGAAATATCCCAAAATAGCTGTTAGAACGAAATATAAAGCACGTTGAAAAGTGGTGCCTATGTATGGATCGTGCGACCGAGAGCCTCTGGGTTGTTCTTGGTACATTTTTTTAGTTTGATATTTTGTGTTTATTATAATCTTCTTAATATATAATGAAGATGATGAAAAAAATCAAGCAATAGAAAACGGAAAACAACTAGACCGCTATTATCAACAAAAAGCTCCTATATATTTTTTGAAATAAAGTATAATAAAATTACGAAAGCGTAGGTTTGATTTACCGTTACAGAACGTATAGCGATATCGATATCGATATATTAAATGTATGATGAAATGTATTTGTCATCTGAAATTTTCAATATCGAATTGAAAATTTAATAATTGATTAATAATCAAAGTACATGAAATTCATCTATAAAATTATCTACTGTTTTCTCATAAATCTCTGTATGCTTCATCCAATGCGTCACATGATCACTTTCCTCAAGACACCATTTTCTCGTTTTATCACCACACAATTTTACGCTTTTCGCTATTACCTTTTCTACCGATGATGAAGGAACCAACTTGTCAGTTTTCGAATAGATAAATAACCTAGGCGAATATTTTGCGGCATTGTGCTCAAACAAAACATTTGTAAAGAACTCTATAATAGTCTTTTGGCCCGTACAGGAAGAATAAAGTACCATTGATGGGAGTCCAACGAGTAAAAAGAGGAATTCAATAACAATTGCTAGAAATGCTTTTTTGATGGGATTTTTTTGTGCGACTGTAAATATTTTATAAAAAGTGAAAATGCTTGTGGTTCCGGGAGCGGAATCGATGATTAAAGCAGAATAATGCAATGGAAGGTTTTGTAATTTGCATGCTTCGGCAAGACCAGCGAGACCTGTTGTTCCGCCGTTTGAGAATGCATGCGCAATCAATTTTGGTTTTGTTGGACTATGCTTCGAGTCATCGTCTTCATTTGTAGTCGGCAAGACTCCAAATTCTTGAAGATACGGAATAAATGCAGCACAAGCTTGCGTAGCCTTCTTAGTGAAATAAATGTAAGGAAAATCCGAAGCAGTCCAATCCAAAATATGAAAGTTTCCTTTCTTTCGCCAGTAAGACGCGATTTTTGAAACATTTCTAACATTACTATTCGTCCATCCAAACATTATCACCACATTAATTGGGTGTTCATTATCCAGTTCCTGACATTTTTCGAGATGGATCGGAAGATTTGGGTTTATTTTTTCGATTGTGCTTGACATTTGGATTTTTTGTTTTAATTTTATTGTTAAAAATCCTTTTTATAATTATAGGAAAGAATTATTGTGTAATTTTGGTTAGTAAGGTTATTTAAAGATGCATGTCACGCATGAGAATTTTGCCGAATTATATGTTTTTCACGTGAAAATTATGATTGCCAATTACGTACATGTGTTAAAATCGATTCTAAGAATCGATTCTCAGAATCGATTCGAAATTAATCGATTATAGAGAATCGATTCCTATCCCTAGGTAGGTGACTATAAACTGGTGTGACTATAGAGAGGTTTGACTGTAATGTATTTTAACTTAAAGTTTTATATATTTTTTATTGAGAAGATACAATTTTAAATAATGCATTTTTTAAAAATTTCAGCATTAATATAAAAAATAATCACACCAATCATATTCAGCTTTATAAGTAATGATCTGCAAAATTTTCAGCGCCTTAGATGTAACTAAGCCGGGTTATATGAATCCGAATTATTCCGTTGCATTATTGTTTATGCACCTTTATGGTTTAAGTCTTGCATATGGTGATATTAATTCCGACATTTATGTCATCAATTCGATATTGAACTAAAAGCAATTCCGGTTCCGTTTTAACCTTAACATTTAAATTGCACACTAATATTTTTACTTTTTCATACTTTTCAATCTCCAAGTTTATTGAGGATGTAATTTTTGCCGTCCTCTCTCCTCTTACGAATGCAATAATCCAACTATGAAAAATTCGGCAAAATTTTTATAGAGCATACACACATACATATGGATATGTATGCGGAGCTAACATAGAAAGAACAATGAACACTATATGGGTGATTTCTTACGAAAGAGAAAGTCACCGCACTTATATCAGAAAAAAAATTCATTGTTCTCCTCATTCTATTCGCGTTCCAGATTTTACATTAGCTTTTGATCAATAAAGAACTCTTTCCTTGTTAAATCATCATGTTTGCTTTATTAAGCCAAGAAGATTGTATGCGTGTGTTGTGAAGATCACAGATTCGTATGCATCGCGTTATGATGCGGGTATCACTCCGTTTTCGCATATGCAAAGTACATGTACATGTACATATATATCGGTTTTTCTTGAAGCTTTCTTAAAAAAGTAAATCTTCCAGAATTTACTCAAACACAATAAAATTTCGGCTCAACCATTGGGAGTTATCCTTCCAAAGGTGATCTTTTTAATAATAAAAAACACGGTGTATTTTCTCATTGCTAAACAATAACAAATCAAGAGCTAACGAACTAAAATACAAAAACTCGTCCATTGTTTTGTTAAATCGGATAAAATTTCTGCGCTGAATTGCTTTTTTTATATTATGCCATCTTTTTTGGTTTATCGGCAATTCTGAAACATTATATTATATTTTTGCACTCCGCCCCGCAACTAAGTATTATTGCACTTTATATTCTCTAACGGAGACCATTTTTTATGTAGTCTAGAATACAACTGATTGAGTACCCTTGAATCTATGATTAACTACGCATTGTATCGTGAACAATATGTAAAAGATTAGGAAAAATCAAAATTCACTTATTCAAAAATATTTAGCTCAAAAAACCTTATAAGACACGTGGCTTTGTGTATTTGATCGAGAAACAATAGAAACCAATAATACCGATACCGATACGTAATATTAATACCTAGAACACTTTAATATTAGGATACAGTATTAGTATTATATTACACTCGCTGGATGCATGCACGAATACATGTACAAGGAGAGAACTGGTGACCACATATTCTTGTACATGTATTTTATATTTTATATTTACATTAAATTAAAGATTGTTGCATTTGTGATTAATGGTATTATCATTGTCGAGAGTGATAAAAGTGAAACAATTAAGTAAAAATGGACCAATAAAGTTATTCAACAATTAGATAGGAAGAGAATCCTATTTATAATTCCTATTCGTTGTAGTCTTTGTCTTGTATTGTGGATATAAATACTGGGTCAAGAAAAAGTGTTTCTTTTGTGTGGTCAGTTTTGATGTAAATAACCCTTTTTTTTTTGTTTTTTTCTGCTGCTGTTGAACCACCACCGCTGGTCGGTACTTTTTCATATAATTTTCATATAATTCACACTATCCCAGCTTTGCTTGCTATTGAAAGAACAATTGATTTGATTCGCGCAAGTTTATTCTCTGATACCAAGATAATATCACCAAAAAAAGTATATAAATAAGATATAATTTACGATCAAAATTTCAAGAATAAAAAAAAACAATGGAGTCTAAAAATCAAGAAAATTTTACGAACGATTATAAAACTTACAATTATTACAATAATAGGCGCAATCAGAATAATAGTAATACTAATAGTATTCATAGTAGTAAAGATGATAGGAAAAGCAAAAAAGTATCTTTTTTTTGTTTTAAACGATCAGAAAAACCGAAAAAGCCTTCTTCCACATCGGACGAGAAATCAAAAAAACCTATAAAAATCAAACGTAAACTGGAATCAATGCGAAAAAGCACATCGACCTTTATAAAAACAAAAGTTCTCAATATCGACGAGGATCTAAAGTCTCCAGGATCAGAAAGTTTTGGCTGTTGCAGTGTGAAAATCGGAATCGAGTTCATGACCGATCGTCGTGTATCGGCGTATAGCACGCTTAATTCTTTTACGTCAAGAACAAGTTCGAGAACCGCCTTTTCAACCACATCTGGTCGACATACGTTACATAAACTACCACCACTTGACACCGTGCAAATTTTCTATGAAGGGTATCCACAACAAAAGTTAATTACCGAGGCGGCAGCGCTTGTTAGTAAAATTGAGCGTGGTGAAGCTGTGACAGGATTTGAACGTGACAGAATAAGGTCACGATTAGGTACAGAAATTTGTCGGCGCTGTTCTCCAGGAACTGCCGAATTCTTAAGTTGGCAGGTGTTTTTGGATTTGTGGAAACGAATTCCATAGTTCATTTATTTTGTAAACTTTTTTTAGAATAGACATCGTAAAGAAGAGAACATAGAACACGTGTAAAGTTTGTAAATTGATAAAATGTAATTTGTTGTATTCGTTTTGTAAATTGAAACAATATTAAAGAGTGAAATTAAACTTGACCACCAAAAAACAAAATTTTTCGTGTGATTGATAAATCTATGCATTAATCAATTCTAATATCAATATATATCGATATAAAAAAGATCCTTGATTAATGAGGTTAATAAATTTATCTATGACGGTAATGTAATAACGATAAAAATAAAATTATGCCCGTTAAAAATTGAATAAAAATTATATTATGAAATCCTTCAATACAAATATCATTGTCTTTATTTTTTTCATATCATTTTTAATAATAATACATGTTGCTGCTGATACTAATAGCTTTATTAGGCATGTGTTGTTATGATAAATAATAATTCAAATTTGGCTATCATTTTAGCATAGAAATATGATTTAGAAAGTTAATTTGATTTTAAAAGGTTACCATTGACACGAACTCGACGTAGTATTGATATCCATAGACGAAATTTTGGCAACATAAAAGAAAATGCGAGCTTCTACGGCGGTGAGGTAACTTATTCATTCCGGATCTTTATCAATTTTTGTTGATTATTGACTAAAGCAAAAGTTGATATTCGAAGTTCCATTCGACGATACAAATTGGTGAACCTGGACAAGAATTTAACGTATTGGTGCTTAATTCATTTATCAATTCATCAGTTTTAACTAAACTAAAAGCGTTCATTCACAATTTTACATTCATAGTTTGATACAGGGTCCACGCCATTATGGGTATCGCACAGATCTTGTAACACTACACACACAACTTTTGATCCTCGGAAGTCGCGAAGTTTTAAGAAAATTGGCATTCCATGGAACATAACTTATGCTGACAATGATAGCGCCAATGGTTATTTGGCAAGAGAAACGATTACAATTGGTGAAGGTGTAAAAATAAGAAATCAAGTTTTTTCGCTTGCTATTAAGATTAATGGTACCTTTGATCAAGAACCCATTGATGGAGTATGTGGATTAGGATATGGACATTTTTACGCGAGAAAACGTGAGTAAAGAAATATATATTCTTTATTTACATATGGATTTAACATATTTGTTTGAAATATTTAGATTATAGAAATTTATTTGAAAACATGAAACATCAACACCTAATTCAGCATCAGCTTTTCAGTATTTGGTATGGAAAGGGCTCAACATCGTCATTATCAGGCGAAATTTTATTTGGGGAGATTAACCACGAGCGATACACTGAAAAAATTTCGTATTTCCCAATAATTCCAAATATATCTGGCGATTGGAAGATCCACTTGGAAGCAATCTGTATCGGAAACAGAACCATCAAATGCCAGATAGAGGCTTTCATCGATTCTGGAATTATTGGATTATATTTACCACAATTTTTCGTCGATAGAGTACATGCGAACATTCAGGGCGCATGGCGAGAAGATAGTGGGTTTTGGAAGCTACTATGTGGCAGTACTGGTGAAAAGTTGATGATCAAAGACGATATTGGGTTTGTATTTGACGGTGGAAGCGTTCTTCGGATTCCTCTACATGATTTTTATGATAAAGACAATGGTGATAGTGTTAGCAATTGTGTAGATGGATATAATTGGTCGTTGCTTTCACCACAGCAAGGGGATTGTGTAAGTTTCACATGTATTAATTTATTTTTTATGATAATTTCATCGTTAATTATTAGTATTCTAATTTAGGCGTATCTCGGATCCACTTTCATTCAAAATTGGTACACTATTTTCGATTTCGATAATCGACGAATTGGGTTTGCCAAATCTGTATACTAAGATGTTAAACCGAAATACGTATTAACGTTAAATGTATTTTTAATTTATATGTATTTAATTTAAATTATAACTAAAGTTCATAACAATAATTAATGAAAAAGCCGGGGTGAAAAATTATGTGACAAGTCATAGTTTGTGACAGGCCGACATTGTTGGAAATTGTAGAAACGATGTCCGTGTACTACAACCTCAAATTGGTATGGCACAAGTAAATGACGCCAAGACAAAATTTAGAGTCTGAAACCATAAATTAAGATCATCGGTTTGAATCTCCTACTTTAGCTTGTTTCGGCAATTTTACCGAAAGAGATCTTCAAACTTAAAATTTCAATATGGCACTAAAACGATAACGATAAAGCTCTTGAATGGTATACATGTACATGTATCAATGGACAATTAAATCTTGGATGCGCATATTTTATGGTTATATCATTGAAAATGACACAAAATGGGCTTAATTCTAATTCGTCGGAGGAGCAAGGCTATTTAGAGGGATATTGTTTTAGAGGGCGAGTGTATATGACCGAAAATAAGAAATCATTTTTTGGGTCCTCTAGCGATTCAAAATGGGGGTTCTTAGTTTCGAAGCTTTTAAGTTTGTGATACCTTATCGTTATTCAAAGATGCATAACGATAACAGTTACATAATTAATAAGGTTTTATTACATGATAATTATTAATAAAGCATTTATGACAAAATTGAAAAAAATGACTATTAAACAGGCGGCCAAAGAGGACTCTTTGCTTCAACATGGGATGGATTTCTTATACGGTACAATAAGAGAGAATCTTTTCTCTGTTTTTGTATCATCATGCGACTATAAAGTGTTTGCAGAAAATTATAAAATATATTGTAATTATAATTATAATTATAATTATAATAGATTACGTTATTTGTTATATTAAATTAATATAACAAACTTCCTCTGAAAGGTTTGATTATTAATTGCCTCTTTATAATGTATAGAAAAACATGTGCATTTCTTAATTTTATTATATTTCAATTACATGTACGTACATGTATATACGTATCAGGAAGTTTCAAATGTATCTCATTTGTCTTGGGACAAAAATCTTATGATTCAAGACATTAAACAGAAAGTTAACCTAAGACCTACTGTACAATTCTGAAGTTTAGTTATAAAACATAAAAGTGTTGAGACAAAACATATCTTTTGCCCCGAGATCAAATGAAATGCATGTATGCCGAAGAGCACATTTTAAACTTTCAGATGTATTTTGATTGGTAATTCATTTCCAATTGCTAAAAAATGAATCGATTCTTTTTAAATATTTTAAATACCGTGTAGTTAGTTATACCTCCATATAGTCACACAGTTGGACGTATTAGTAATTTTTAAAAATGAGATGTGCTTATAGAGAGGTTTTTCTGCGATGTGTTTATTAGGAGTGAGATCAGTTTGATTCAGTTGGGTTTGGTTGAGAAACTGGTAATTTTGGGTTATTATACAGGTGAACCAAACCAAATTACAGTTTATATCAAACTGGAGTCCTGGTTTCAAATTCAGTTTAAACCATGACTTAGATTCAAATATTAGTGCACATGATATGTTGATTATATTTTAGTAACAATTCCAAATGTTAAAGATTAAATGAATTTAGAAATTATAAAGTTTTTTAAAAATTAAAATAATTTTTCTCATTATATATTATTATAATAGTTTATACTAATAAAAAGAAAAAAAATAATACAGTAATTGAATTTATTTTTCAAATTGATTATAGGTATATAATATTTATATGATTAAATAATGTTAAATTTGTTTGAATTAAATTACTGATTTTTGAGATATTATGTAAAATTATTAAGTAATAAAAAGGGAAAAATAATACTGTAATTGAATCTATTTTTCAAATTGATTATAGGCTGTATAATATTTATTTTTACACTTGAATTATTTATATGATTAAATAATATTAAATTTGTTTGAATAAAATTACTGATTTTTGAGATATTATATAAAATTATTAAGTAATAATCTATTAGTATTCAGTATTATTTATATACAAATTTACTAATTAATTTATATAGATTACTATTTATTAATAAAAACAATATCAAATTTTAAATTAAATTTAAGTAAAATATTTTCATTAAACTAATATTTTTAGCTTGTAAAAGAAAAAAATATTTCTATATACTAATAAAATATTATTTTATATTAAAGATTAAAAAAATATATTTAACTATAAAACAATTACAAATTCCAAAATAATAAATAACATTTAGTAAATTTAAATATAATTTAATATATAAATTATTATTTGAATTTATTAAAAATAAATTGGAATATATAAAAATTAAATTTGATATTTTTATATAATATTTTAAGAATTAGAATTTAATTTATATTAAAACAAATTATTTATAATAAATTTGTTTGAATTTGATTATTTATTATTCTAATATATTATATTAAAATATTAAATTATATATTTTATATTATATAAAATTCTATATTTAATAATAAAATAAGATATTTTAAATGAAATTTAGAAAACTAAACTAATAATATTATTTTTTATATTAATAAATTTAGTAAATTTTAGATTGATATATATCATTTTAGAATTCTAATTTTGACCGAATAAATCGATGAACGTAAACTCCTAAAAACAAGTATATAAATGCTATATTGTTCTAATTACGCTATATAGAGAGAGAGAGAACATTGTCTTTATTCGACGTAATAATACTACTTCCTCCGCGGTGAACGATACACAGTCCGAGGAATCATCGCATCAGAACAGCTTCCGTTCTTCGAATATGAGACCGGAAATTCGAATATGAACCAAAATCTGGTCGTCCACGTATTCGTTACGAACGGAATGCTGTCCAGCTGATAACGTCCGGAAAATGCTCCACTGCCGTTGAAGTCCAACGCAAGCTTCAAGCTGATATAGGCTCCTCAATATCAATTATGCCTTATCAATGTCAAAAGTCACAATAAAGAAGACAATAAAATCGAAGATTTTATCTTTGGAACCCATTGCTTTATTCGTAATAGATTCTCAAGACATGCTTTTTCAGCAGAACCAAAATGAGGGTATATGTCAATTGATAACGATAATCCAATATTGTAAAATCACTTGAATGTGTGTATGATCGAGAGTTTAGAATCTTTCGTTAAAATATTTCTTCCACAAACACTACCCAACAATATGGAGAAGTTGGAATATCCAAGTGAGTGAGTCTGTTACTTATCACTGTTTTAGAGCTGCAAGTCAGAACGTCTGGTTCTCGGATTATTGGAAGCAAGACGGAGATCTAAACAGCTGGTCCTCTTACTGGATGAGGACACAGCCAATCTCTGCTACTAGAAAAGACTCCCATGCTATCTTATTAAACGAACTAAATAATCTCAAGGAAATATAGCAGAGTACATCTACCGCTCGTATAGCTTATAAACTGAAGAAAGAATTGAAGGTAACTATAATTGTTGGTAATTTCATGGTTCAACGTATGCCATCCCTTAAGCTAAACTCGTGGTTCGTAGTATCACTGGGGAGTAGATAGTATTTGTTTAGTTAATATAACTACTTGGCTTTTGCTGCAAAGTTATATTATATTATTTCATTGACAACCTCTTAGTTTATTTATCATCTCTTGCTTTAATTGCAAAGTTATATTTGATATTATATGATCTTTCGTCTTAACTGCGAAGTCATACTAATAAAAAGGAATTAACACTTTACTTATTTATAAATTATAATGAAGTTATAATTGTATTTACCTTGTTAAAATAAGATTTCTGAGCTGCTCAACAAACTGAACATATGTTACATAACTTTAATCATTATACTCTCCCACCTGACTGAATCATGTGAAATATACGTCATATACCTGAAAGTTATAAAACCAACCAAAGATACAACTCATGACTTCTGATTCTACATTTCGAATGGACTTGATAGAAAGGTGGTGGGATGGAATATATATATAAATTTCTAATGCGAAAAAAATCGATGTATTGATGTTTTGGCTTACAGATATCGGAAAAATGTGCGACCTAGCTGTCCCAAAATTATCCGTAATATGATTGAGGTCGAGGGAAGCTTTTCTAACACACTTAATTATTTGTGAATCATAGCACCCCTAAAGGGCCTGTATATATTCACGCTGTTCCATTCCGCCTTTTCTCAGCGAATATCAATATGCAGGTACAGTTATTTGGATTATATAAGAAACGGAGACTATTAGTGAACATCGGCCAAACTCAGCTTTGCTTTTATATGTTTCCACAGTTACTAATGAAAAGTTTGTGTAAATGATTCGAAGCATGGATCGACCCTTTCAAACAGAAGAAAATGATATCATAATTGCAAAAGTACGTAACTTCTGGAAAATCAAATTACGTTAGGTAATGCATAACTATAAGATTTAGACTTCCAGGAGCTTCTGATCATTAATGTATATCTTTGAGCTTCATCTTCATTTGATCCTGAATACTATCAGCTGAAAGGCAACGGATCAAGAGATTGGCACAGCTATTATCACACTACATAATTATTTTTATCGGAAATATTATTAAAATAGTGAAAAAAAATACAAATGTTAAATTACAAGTTTCGGGAAGTTTTTAACCCTAAACTAGTCGTCGCGTGTTAATAGACTTGTTCTGAAAGAAAAGGAATTTTTAATTGAAATATGCTTAACGGCCAATAATACAAAAAACAAGAGTACAAAAAGCATTATTTCCCTCAGAAAGAAATGATGAAAACTACACCACTTGTATCATATCCAATTTGTCGAGACAGATCCCGGGGCTATTGAGCAAGAGACCATCTCGGGATTCGAGGCTAATCCTGCCAATCTTCACTTATCCCACGCAAGTTCAATGCAATGTCCTGAGCGCCAACAGATCTCCAAATACATCTTTTTTTCCTCTTCCGCTATTAAAATCTCATTTTTCTTATAGGTCTCATCATTACGCTTTCTGGAATCGGTGACAAAAGGAAGATATGTTTTCCGATATTTTTACACTTATTATGCTCTTTCTCCACAAGGTCTTTCTCCAGCATACTTGGTGAACCACCATCAATCACATTCTTACGGCTAACTACTTGTTGTTTGTCTTGGAGAGAATGGTGGTTTTGTGAGTAAGAACGAGTCAGTGAGATGGTCAACCTCTTATTTTGGTCTGGTGAGATCGCATTGACTAGGGACTCGAGGACCCTGATGAGTGGAAGCGCGTCAAAGATCCGATGAGAGTAGATTTCATGAAGAGTGAGAAACGGAAGCTTGAGCCTCTTATTCTCATTTCCATCGAGAAAAATGAGCTCCTCCTCCAATTCCTGCGAGGATGGTATAAAAGTTAGATGCATCTAGGAAGCATACAATTATCAAGATTTTAAACGTACCTACCTCAATTTTACGCTTCTTGTTAATACTGATTGTGTCTGTCTGGTCAACATGCCACCAAAAAAAGTGCATGCCACCAAGAAGGGGATTATTTCAAGATTATCTTTTGATCTAAAGTGGTCAAAGTAACGTTGATACTTTTCATTGATGTGCTGTTTCGTTCTCTTGAGGAGCTCATGCAATGTTTTGGTTTATATTGGCATTCTTGCAAGTAATGTAATCCACTTTGGTAGAATGTGCTACCAAACGCGACTTCCTATTAGCAACAGCGAAACCAATGACACTCATTTGGAAGATCATAGCTTCGAGAAAACGGCCGATGACGCCAAGAGCTCAATTATGTATTTCAGATGTTCGGAGAGCTCATTGAGCCTACCAAAAGCAAATGCAATACCAAAATTGTATGAAATGTTACAAAATACACAGCCCACAACTGATACTCTCATCAGCCACCTGACAAAGATATCAGCTTAGATTGGCTCAGTATCAACTAACAGCAAATGCCAATAATTATAACTCACCCCCCGGTTGGCCAGTTCAAGTATAACTTCTTTAGCGTGCTCAGACTTGAGTAGTGGTAAAGATATGTCTTCGGTTTTCGCGTTACTTGACTTGACTGTATCATACAAAACGATTGCATGAATCCCTGATTAGAAAACAAGAGAAAATATCCTTTCGAGATGGCCCTCGCGACAGGCTCGAAAGATCATTTGTTTCATTTTAGGTGTGGTAATTATTGCAGTGGTAATAGTTTTTGTTTCATTATTATATTACGAACCTTTAATCGGAGGATGACGTGCTGGAATCCACAGTACCGTTTAGCACTGTATATAATAACCAAAGACTTATTCAAAAATTGTGGAACTCTTAAATCGACAATATGTTTCAAGTTTAAAATGTTACTACTCAACATAGAGGCAAAATTTTCAAAATCCGACCGGTAACTTTGTTCTTTATAATAAGTTCTACTAGTTACCGATCAGATTTTGAAAATTTTGCCTCTATGCTGAGTAATAATATTATTATTGGGATATTATTATTGGGGGATACTATATACAGGGTTAAACAGTATAGTGGTATGAAGAAGGTTGTGAATCAAATTTCAATTTTCTCACGGCCGAAATTAAGGAAATCTTGAAAATTTTAATTTGAAATTTACGTATCGGTATGTATATACGTAGTTTTATATTACTGTCGATCCTTATTGCAAAAAAGGACAAAAGTCTCACGAAGATCCTCCAACGCCATCTCCTTCAAGCTCTTACATAGCGTGAAGGTGGGTTGTTCAGAGCCCCCGGCCAGCGGGGGATGCTTCCGTCTGAAATGCAAGTGTTAGTACGGTTATCATATCGTGGATTTGATATATATATCAAATTTTGGATTACTTGAGTTTCACTTGACAAAAATTGTGGGATAAAAATTAATTATAACAAGATTATTGGCTATCGCTAATCACCCCTTGCACAAAAATGCAAATCACACGATATCGATGTACATGTAACAGTAAAGCGTGGCTTGGACAAGTTTACCTTAATTCTGATTGGTTAGTTATCGTTATGTTGTTATTTATTAACGTTAACGATCTACATATCAATATATGATTATTAATTTTTCTTCCCACACTTCTTTCTTGCTACCGCTATTCGCGAGTTATTTCTTCAAAGTTTTTTCTTTTATTTTTTTTGCTGCTGACTTTATCCCGTTATTCTTTCCTTTGACTTTTCTCGCTTGTAAGACTTCCAAGTAATCACCTTTGTGGTAGTATATCTACACTTCTTTCTTGCTAGTACTATTTACACTCAGTGCTGAGAGATGTTTTGCGAGTTGTTTCTTTAGCTTTTCTTTCTTCGAAGTTTCTTCTCTGACTTTTTAAAGTAAAAACGGGAGTCGTTGTTTGGCTGTTGATTCTTTTTTTCCAAATAGTATATAAGAAAAATAAGAAATCACATTCGTGGCAATGAATCTAAAAAATGATAAAAAAAATAAAAAGCAATCACCTCTGTGGTAGTGTATCCACCTCTACCTTTGCGGTAGTGCATCCATCCACTTTAGTGGTAATGCACCTATACCCGGGGCAGTGAACCTAAAAAATCATAAAAAAAATCAATCTAAAAATCCTAAAAAAATAAAAAGCAATAACCTCCGTGGTGGTAGTGTATCCACTTTCGTGGTAACACACCTTTACCTGGGGCAGTGAATTCAAAAATCACAAAAAAAAATAAAAAGCAATCACCTCTGTGGTAGTGTATCCACCTCTACCTTTGCGGTAGTGCATCCATCCACTTTATTGGTAATGCACCTATACCCGGGGGCAGTGAATCTAAAAATCGAAATATTGGGAACGCCATCCGGGATATTGTCAAATTTTGAAATTGATTCACGAAGAATATTTTTGATGATTTCAGTGGTTGGTATGCCTTGAGGCTCTGATGATTTGGTGATGACGAGTGAAAACACAAGTTAAAAAATGAAATGACAGCGAGAAATGTGGTATAAGTTTGGATTATTAGCAAATGACATCACGTAGACAAGAACGAAACAAGGCTATCAAAAAATCAAGCCAAGACGCGTTCACTTTCATTGACTAAACTTATTACAACTCACTCACCGGCGGTAACGGGTTGTTATACGATAACGTGAATTTTTTTGGCGACGTTCGATGATAAGAAGCGGGAAAGAAAAACATAAGATTAAGTATTCGGAATTACAAAGCGCGGACAAGAATGAAGCAACGAAGTCAAGCACATTAATTTATGCTTCGATTGAATTTTTGCATGAGAACATACCAGGCATAGAGATTAGAAACCTCAAATAACCACATTTCTCATCATCCTCTGTTAAATCATCAAGGCAAGATTGTGCATCAACTCGTAGTTTTTCCTTTCCAGTGAAGTAACTTAATAAACGTAATTTTTCTTCTGAAACAAAACCGAGGCGATTAATTTCTCCTTTTAGAGCTGTTAGTGCAGTATCCATGCTTGGTAGCGATAGTAATATAAGTTACACAGCCCGAGAAAGAAATTTTTTTGGAGAATTGGGGGTATCGGTATGTGCATATCTATATATTTATGAAATTTGATAGTTACGCGATCAAAATAATTCCATCGTGTGCAATCAAGCGAACCTAGAAGTTTGATTTTTTCAGCTGTTATTTCGATTCCTGACATGAATGTTTGACGCGATAATGATCGAAAAAATGAAGCAAAGTTTTGAATTTGGTTCTGCCACTCGGTCATCAGTTTCCATGATACGATTCCTGGAGCAAATTATATGCACGACGTAATATTATTATTTACATATTTATTTTATAATCGTGAACTTGAATTTATTACTTGAGATAATAACTATTCCATTCGCCATGTATTCCATGACTCCAATGCTCTTTTATATCCACTAATTTATTTAAAATACTATAACATACAGATAAAAAAATCACATGCTTTATTACATAATTAAAACGCATTTTATGAACTAGTATATGCGCGTCAACTGCAATTTAGATAATTAAATTATACGTAATATAAGGTTATTAATTATAAAGGATCAAAGCTTTGAGATTCTGTTTCATATTTTTGCTTTCACGTTTTGTTAGCGGAGCTAGCATGACAATAAATTCCTTAATTTTTTGGATCTTTCTAGGAATAACAATTTCCGGTTTTTCATCATACCATACTTCAAGGAGGAAGGTTCCACTATTCTGTTCTGGCATATGCATCTTTTTTCCGATCACGGTTAACGATGTCCATCTTTATAACAGCTAGTATTATGAAACTGATGCTGTGCCTCTTGTACCCCAATGCTATTTTTGGAAGAAGGTTTCAAGTTCCAATCCTTTTAAGAAAGAAGTGCGATACTCGATTATAGGTTCCTCATTAAGAACTATCTGAGCTATTAGAATGCATTTATCCTGAAATTTGTTATTTTTCTTAGATTCTGATTTCTTTTTAAGTTCATCTACCTGTTTTAATCTAACTTCAGATACTAGATTGTCACATTCAGACCAAAGCTCACATCTTTTATTAGCATTATATTTAAACGCCTTTCGCAACTCCTACGAATTTATCAACCTCTTTATCTCCGAATGATTAGGTTCGAAAAGTTCTTGTATGGTTGGAGAATAATTCTTATCCATTACTTCATCCTTAACTAACGAGTTAGATAATATCTCCGGTGGGGAAGCTACCGGCAAAGCTGAACAGGATGGACATTGTAAAACAGCCTATTTTAGTCTTGCATTCTCGGCTTTAATCTTGCCAATTTCGAACTTATGTTCAGTATCTGTATTGAGCCTCTTTATCTTCGAATGATATAGGTTCGAGGAAACATTGTATGTACGAAGAAGAAGGATTATACACTGGTTCAATCTTGAGTTCAGCATTTTCAGCTATGAGGCTAGCGGTGTCTGTTCTATTTTGCTCTAGTTCCTCGATTCTGGTCTTGAGCTCAGCATTCTCAATTCATGCTTGGCATTCTTTTCCATAGCATGTCTTAACGCCGCATTCTCAGACTTAACCTTGGTATTCTCAGCCAAAAGTTCGTCAATTCGCTGTTTCAATAAATCAATTTCGTACTGCATGTTTGATGATAACATTTATATGAGACGCAGATTTATTTAAATTTTTCTCTGGCTTCGGCGTAAGCTGGTATAGAGTGCCGAACATGTAATCGAGAAGGTAGGATATCAGATAATACGTGCAAGGCATTAGCATGAAACGAAAAATCGGCACTAGATATATAGTATTCGATCAATCTTTGGTTCGAGATACAGTCAACTCTCTCTAAATGCACACACTATGTTTCTATTCTATAAATGAACCCCTTGGTTCGGTCCCAAGTTAATAATATTACTAAGAAAATGCTTTCTATAAATGCGCAAATTCTCTAAATGCACTCTCAAGTTTGATTTTCATGTGTCTCCCATCGGTGTGCATTTAGAGAGAGTTGACTGTACATCGCATTACAAGTGATTATTTGTCTGATTCTGATTCTACGTTGCGGAAAAAAGGAACTTGATAGGAAGGTGGTAGGATGGAAGACATATGATGTACAAAGTAGCCTATTATTTTTTTTTACAGTAGTGGAATAATTATCCGACCTCTGATAACTTTCCGAAAATTATGTGTAATGCTCGGAAATGAACATCTCAAACGCTGATCATTGATACCTTTTATAGATTGATAGAGCTTCTATATACCGAGTATTGTATGTTCATAAACTTTCGCATCCCAAATATAATCCGTTATTTCATGACCTGATCATGATTTTCCGATTGATATACAGCAAAAGCTTATTCCATCAGTATACGTGTTAATAATTCAAGTTACACATATAACGATAATAGTGGTTAACTTTCAATTTATATATTTGTACAAGCTCCAACAAGATAGTCACTTTAATATTGAAATCCAAATGAAAACCCTCGCCATATGGAAAACATCACTCAATATTGTAAATGTTTCACGTTTTTGATCTCAATTATCTTTTTGTTAGAACACACAATCAGGATATAATTCCATTGAGCATAATATGGCAACACTCTCTTGAAAACTTCTAGGAATAACATTACCCATTGATACATATGGTTCTCGCTTCGATTCTCAAGATAAAGTAATTGACTTGGAGTTTGCAATGAAGCATTTTTATTATGCTGGCAATCCTTGTGTACTCTTTGGAAACGGGGATTTTATCTTCGGAAAGTCTGTTATAACACAATATATCGACCAAAAAGTTTTCCATTAACTGATATTAAATTCCTGGAGTTTGAAAAAAGAAACTACTTGTCTTGTCAATGGTTGGAGAACCATATCAAAGTATGTCAATATTCGTCTGATGTTAAAAATGTGAAAATTTTCTTGCTGCTTACCCAAACATTGTGAAAAAGCAGCTATTCTCCTTGCGGAAATGATGTTTTTTTTACCTGTGACAAAAGGCAAAGATGAACATTATCTTAATCCATTTCATTCAAAATATTTTCTAATACTTTCAATGGTTGATTTGCACAGGAAAATTCAACATCCAAGAGACAAGGATGACCAGCTAAACAAAAACTACCTACAAATTCTCTTGACAATTTTTCGATTGATTTGGTTTCAATTAGATAGGAGTTAACTTTTAATCAGAAAATACATTCGGAAGATGAATGAGAAAATTGTTAGGAAGTAGTTTGTTTTAAGTTGTTTTGCGAAATATATTCTATCTTTTTTTTTAAAAAAAATAAATCTTTCAACAATAGAATTTATAGTTGAAATTATTTATTAAACCAAAATGAAGTTTATTAAGCTGGTTCATGCTCCGGATTTGTTAAGTTTGCTTGTTTCTAGCTGATATTTGCACCGGGTACAATACAGGGGCGACTAAACAGCCCTAGCGTTACCCCTAAAAAATATAGGCCGGATAGATCAATGAAGTGACGCAAATTTTTGATGGACTTGCAATTACATGTACATGTATTTTTTTAGGATTTTCAAAGCATCTGATTTGCATTCTAGTGGACGATACGTATGTACATGTACGCATAAAAAAACTAGTGTATCAATTAATGCATCCGAAGACAAGAAATCTGAAGATCAAAAATTCCATTGAAAATTGTAGTAAAATAAGCATTAATATCACTTTTAATCGTGAATAATGTCTTATAATAGGAATTATAGAGTTATACATTAAGTGAAAGTATTATTTTTATGTCAATATCAAATGGCAAAGACAATGCAATATAATTAAACTTTCCTAGTTCATTAAATAATTTAGAATTTGGATCTAATGGAAATGGCGAGAAAATTTATCTCATACGTTATGCATATATACAAGAAAAGTTTATAATACATTGGTGATACGCATTACGCAAGAATTTTAATTGTGTGAGACTGGGAAATAAATAATACTAATACAAAAAATTCTGGTCTCAATATGATCGTTATATGCGAAAAATAATGATACTTAGTGCGATAGGGATTATAGAAATATATTTATTTGATCTGTATATATATAATTCATTTATGGAGGTCCGACTGTATATCTAATTTACAGGTGTATTTTCTTATAGAGCCGTTTACTTTTAGATATTTTTCGCAACTTGTATATTAGAAATTACACATAATAATTATATAATACAGTTAATAGAAGTGATATTTTTATCCCTGAATGTAGAATCCTTAAAAGGAACATATGCATGATATTTCATACATTGCAAATTTGACAAAAAAATTTATTTCAGAATTCAGATTTCTTAATATATATATATGAATTATACATTTATAATTTCCAGGCTTAATATTATTAGCTGCTTCGCAGAGAAATAAACTTAGTTTTCAAAGGTCTTTAGATGGTCCAATCTCGACTCTTGCAACCTCGATTGCACTTGCGAATATCACCGGTGGATATATTACAGGGAGATTTCACAATACAGTACACAGTGAAAATCGTTATAACATGCTATTTTTCGGAACCAACTACATACGTATAAATTTTGACTGTTAAGCGGATCCGTCGATTTGTCAGGCCCGTTATATCGACTTTCACTGTGTACTGTCATTGCTTTTCTTGAGAATGGTGCCGAAAACTAATTAGCGTATCGGGATTTCATTTTGCTGAGTAAACTTTTATAATTGTTATTAAGAAATTTTATAAGAAACTTTGGAAGTATTTATGTAAATCAAACAAACCATTATTATGCTTATAAAAGGTCAAACTTAGAATGTAATATTGACTTTAAACAAAAATCAACGAATACACTATTAACGCATACTAAATGTTCAGCTAACAAAAACTTATGTTCAAGGAGTCGATATACCGTATTTTTTCTTGATAAATTTTTTGTTAGTTTTTCAAAGAGAACATTTTAATATTTTTCTTCAAAGCTACAATTGATCAAATCAAAAAACTGAGATTTTAATCAACAGCTACACTCGGTGGAATAAAGTCACCGGACACTTTTTTCGCGAAATAATAGTGGGAAAACTAATGAAACAACTTGTATTAGTGTTCTAAATACATAAATTTGAAAATTTCTGTAGTATATTATACTAAAATTTCAAATTTTTATAATTGCTCTTCAAAAAGATATGGCGGAATGTGTTAAAATATTATATTTCAAAATACTTTTTTTCTGTGCAAAAGTATTTTACTATAACTTTATTAATTATAATTAAGAAAACTAGAGATTTTAGTATAATATACTTCAGAATATGTGGCATTTATTCAATTATAACATCATCAAAACATATTTTTTATTAGTTCCCTCAACATTGTTTTATGAAGTATAAAATCTATTATTAAAGTTGTTGAAATATAATATTTAATGTTTTTTAGATATAATTTTTTAAAGAGTGATTGAAAAAACTTGAATATTAACATTGCATATTTCAGAATATTTTGAATCTATAAACATAGAACAGCTATATGAATTTTTTCATTATTTTTTTCATTATTTACTGCGTTATTGATTTACTAATTATGTCCAGGTCATTTATCTATGCATTTGTATTTTAGTTATAACTTTTCAGACAGTGATTAAAAAATTGAAAATTTAGTATTACAAACTTCAAACCATTTTAAAGCTACAAGCTTAAAATATAAAAGCATAATTTTTCATTAATCTTTGTGCTATCAATAAAATTGTAATGATATACTTTTTTCATGCAAATTATTGGTTTTTTTTGAAATATCATATGTTAGTATATTTTAGCTATAACTTTTTAGTAAATGATTGAAAAGACTTAAAAATCTAGTATAACATATTTCAGAATATGTTGAATATATGCTTAGAACACTAATACAAGTTTTTTCATTAGTTATCCCACTATTATTTCGCGAAAAAAGTGTCCGGTGACTTTATTCCACCAAGTGTACTTCTTGTGCGCAATCGCCTTGTCGTTGGACACTGCAACATCTCTTTTGTTTCTTTTGATGATGATAGGACCTAACTTGCAAGATCCGGTGGAATTGAATTACAAACAATTGTTTCGAGCGGTATAGAAACACGTTCCTATTAATGGAAATTCCATTGTTTCAACATTGATAATAAAGTATTTTTTGAAAGTTATCGTTATAACATTTTCGTAAATCCCACTCGCTGTCTATACTAAACAAAAAAGATACAGCTAATCATATTACACGTTGCTCGTTAAATTGACACTAGTTAAACCGACCGGACATGGCCTAAATATCCTGGAACAAAAAAATACTTGATGTCCGGTTTTTAAAGAGAGCGACGTCTAGGTTCATCATCATTGATTAATTTACTATAAGTTTTTTTTAATTATGGTGCATAAAATCTAAAGTCAGCAAACGTTTGTATTTTATAAAATGTACAAACTTCTTTACTATGTAAATACAAAATTTAATCCGTGATATGCTCAGAAAAGGCCTATTCTATCATATTCACGGATTAAATTTTGTATTTACTTCTTAGTAAAGAAGTTTATACATTTTATAAAATACAAACGTTTGATGACTAGATTTTTATGCATCATAGTGATCTCATTTCAAATATTGAAGAAAATCGGAATTGACAATAGAAATCCAGAAATCCTGGATTTTGTAAATTTATGACATTCACATTATTTAATGGCAATTCATAATCGATCTATTATTGCTGTAAGTTTATTTTTTTCATTCTCTGTTATATATATATATATATATTTATTTATTATTTTTTTGATTCATAATTGAAGTCAAATAGTCAATTGAAGAATTGAATTCAATTTACATATCTTTGAAAAGCTAAATATACTGAAGTAACAACTAATTAAATACATACATATAACCATGTCACTTCTAGCGATCCAAAGATAATGAATACGTATTCAATATCAATACATACGTTAATTATTTCAAATCAATAGAAAATTTGGATAAACAAATGTTTTTAGTTTGGGATAATTACGTATTATATTTTGAACCGTAAATTTGTTTTGTGCATGATTTGGCCTTACACATACGATTGTAACAAAGTGAAGACCAAGAAAAATGGCAGATCATGTGATTCCGATCCCGATGCCGACCATCCGATCTACCCCTTAAAATATTGCCTATGAAACTATCATTTGTGCTTTAATAAAACATGTTCCTTGCGAAATTTTACTAAATAGCATACTCCCGCCTACCGCTACTACGTATACAATAACCTTAACTCTAAACCTAACCCTACCCTAACCGAAATTCTATTTAAGATTATGCATTATAATTTAAGGGATAGATCGGATGGTCGGTACATGATCGGCCATTTTTCTTGTTACATGACTAACATATCATAGGAAGATTGGCTAATTTATATCGATCCAAGCATGATTATTGACCAATCAAAGCAATCAAAGAAATTAGCGAAGCTTTACTGTTACTCTTTATTTATCGTTATATTTTAAATAGTAATATTATTCTATTTTTCAGTCATCACTATCTTTACTAGACACATTATAACCCTTGACCTATATTATAATTAAACAACACCACATATTATTCACATTTATACACATTACCTAACGAGCTTAACTTTTATTTAGATTTAAAGTAAACGATATATGTATATAAAGCTTTAAGATTAAACTTGCATTATACATCTTACTTTTTTCGTTGACTGTTTTCAGCATAATAGTACATATATAGAGTTGGTAATAGTAATAAATAATAAAGTATGTCAGGTTATGGATTCTTTGGAAATTCTTTTACATAGTGAATATAAACGTTCGTTTAAAGCAAGAAATGGTTTTTACAGTGATTTTTTATTCGTGAACGTGACGTTCTCAAAAAGTACTATAAATAAGTTACTCAGACAATTGATTTACATCGGTCAATCATATGAAAGTCTTCCTATGAACTAACGTAGCGATAGTCGCGCGCGTTTACATTTAACATTGGCTGATCTCATCGTTATCCTATTAAGCAAAATACGTACATGTAAATGTATTTGGTTCTAAATTTCCTATTTATGAAATTTTGAGAAAACTGCAAATATATTATTACCTTTCATCATCTGGCAATTGAACTGGAACAATTCCAACTTCCCTAGACTTCAGCACAAAATAAATATGGCAACCAAGATGGAAACTGTAATATTCGATTTCTATGTTAAGAACGATTGCATCCTATCCAAAAAGCTGTTTTTTTACTTTTTCAAAAAAAATAAAGTCATCAATTTATATACATGTATTTATTTATAACAAAATTATACAAGTAAGAAAACAAAAGCATATTTAACTACTCTTGAAAGTGTGAAATATGCATCCTATTTTTAATTTTGTACACTGCGGAATACACAGACTAACTTCGACGGGGGTTGACAGTGTATTATTTTTTATTAGCTGATTAATGCTAATTAGCATGTACATGTACCTGTATCTATACGTAGTTTTTGCATGTACGTACTGTACATAAGATGCATACGAATCACACTTTTAACGCCAAGAGATAGCGATAGGCTAATCATGCATAAAACGAATCATTATTACATCAAATTCGAAGCTAAAAACAATAAAGCCGAAAAGATAAAATTTTATTGTTTTACTTTATCGTTATGCAATTCAATGGAACAAACAAACAATATCGATATTACGCACAACAAAAATATAGACACGGCACATAACGGTAACGAAATGCACCAATACACATCCACGGCCGATATTTCCTTTTCTAGACAATATATAATTTTGTCTCAACTCATATTTAATTTGTTCACCTTTTTTTTCGTTTTTTTCTTTCGGGTTTCCACGTTGCTCCTTGAACGATAAATAAACACATACACTTATCTACCTATCTTTTTTTATTTCATATTAACATCTCCTTGCTCTATATATTCCGCAGGTCGGCAGAATATTTTTGAATTTGTGCTTTTTTATTCTTTCTCGTTATAATATTATAAAAATGAAAAACTGCAAGTATTCAAAAAGTCAAGAAACCCAATTTTACCATAGAGTACTAAATACAATAGCAGCGAGGCTACACATAAAATCCAAAAAAAATAAAAATACTTCGAAAAAGAAATCAAGTTCAAAGCAACAACCACAATATCAAAATCCTTTTTTGAAATTCATATCGGTCAAAAAAACCACCGAGAAAGAAAAAGGTAACTACAAAGATGATGATGATCAGAAAACTTTAATTCCATCTACACCAACAACTCCACGAACTACGAAATCCTCATCAAGACGCTCGAGACACACATCTCATCTACTTCCTTCCTTAGAGACCTTTGAACTATTTTACGCTGGCTACCCGAAACATTCTTTAATAATGGAATCCGCTTCGATAATAGGTCGCATAGAGAATGGCTGTTTGGTCACTGAATGGGAAAAAAATTTACTACGTACTAAATTAGGAACAGCGATATTGAAGAGATGTTCGCCGGGTACTGCCGAGTTTTTAAGCTGGCAGGTGTTCTTGGATCTATGGAAAAGGATTCCAGAAAACTAAAAAAATTAGGATAATTATTAGTAAAAATTTATTGGAGAATTTAATTAATAAAAATTTGACATGTATTTATTTTATTAATGCTAATAATTATTATAGCATTGAATATATGAATATTTAAATAACCATTTCGATTTAACAATGATTAACACTTAACATCTTTTTTATAACTTTGCTTTCTCCTTACTCTGCTTCTTATTGATATTTTACCTCGAGTTCTACCAGTTCTTCTTCAAGCTCTGCAGTTGCCTCTTGACCACGATCAACTTTGAGTTCTAATCCATTTCCTTCTTCAGATAAACGACTACACGAAGTATATATTTATGAATACACGTCAAACATTTTTTGTGCGAAGAGTGTTCGGCTGGCTAAAAGAAATATGAGAAACCAATTTGGCTGTCAAAAGAACTTTATATGGTGGCAGTGAATTAGTACCGTAATTTGTAGATATTCTCACTTTAAAGTATCAAAAATTTTTTGCAACTTGTGATTAATGTCAGTGACCCCAAATAAGTCATTTGACTTTGTCAAATGATCACACATACATACGTAATTTGTTAATGCATATAAAATACCTATCATGAACCACCTCCAAACCCCAACTTAATATATCCACTGTCGTACAAGGAATTAGCATGGTAGAATTAACGTTCTGATCATAAAACAAAATACATGTACATGTACATGTACATGTATTTACATGTCAATCGAAGTGACACAATCCGTTATATTGAATTCGAAGATGTTTATTGTAAAAATAAAGTTTAAATATTTTTAATTTATCAAAAGTCTGCTTCTTAATGATATGCAACGGTCAACGAATTTATTTTATCGAAATACGAAATACCGTAGTTATTACTTTGACAGCAGTTATATTTATGTATAAACATAAACATAAAATACGTACGTATTCGTCATTATTAATATATATTTATCGAGACTGCTGAAAAAGAAGTGGAGAAAAGTGGAAAACAAATATCACGAGAAATGGAATATTTAGTAAATGAGTTCCCCACGAAAAAGATTTAGTAGTGTATCAAGAGTTAGAAATTCAGAGTAACGGATTACTAAAGAAGTAAGAGTACTAGTTAGATGTGGTTGTTTTTAGGCATTTTAGTATCGTGTTACGTAGTTTTTTAAACGATAAATACATTAAATAATATAATGATAATGATAATGATAACGATAACGATAACAATGAATAATTTAGATTTCTCATTTTTTTCATTATGACTATGAATTGTACTTGTTGACTCCAAACGACGTTTTCGGGTTGGGGAAGGAATTATAATTTGTTCTTCTATCATTGTTCTCGTTATACAGTGAAACTCGATATAACGAACCCTCCGTTCCTGCCATGCTGTCCGGTAAATCGATAGATCCGCTATAACAAATAAATTTATATGATGTTATTTTTATAGCTGGTTCCGAAAAATAGTCCGTTATATCGAGTTTACTGTATATTTGTTCGGGATCATTAACACTAACGCTAATTAAAAAGATTCTTTTATTTTTTTCATTAATCTCTTTAATTCCTTGGTGTTGTAAAACAGAAATTAACGAGAATGGAGATATATCGAGTTTCTTTCAAGAAGAGCAACAACTTCATGATGAAACACTTCTGAAACTGGAAACATGACTTCATATAGTCCGTATATGCGTTATCATTATAGAATCATATTACATGATAATTATAATAATTATAATAATTATAATAATATGAATTATTAAAAGAATTATAGAAATTATTGAAATTATAATGTGAATGAAAAGTCACATACAA